CCTAAGGAGAGATTTTAGTGTTTTGAATACAAGATACTTTATCTTTCAGAAGATCTTCATGCCGTAGTCTTGAGTACATCCTCGTTGAAATCTGTTAATGAAGGTGAAGGCCTCGATTCCGTGAATTGTGCTGCACGCTGTCGTCCAGCATGTAGCTTAGTGTGGTATAAAGACACACTAGAAAATGTTATTTCATCTTCTGATGGTGTTTTAACGCTTCATGATCTCAAAAGAACAGCAGCTGGTAGTTATTTTTGTGTTGCAACACATACCAAATTGAATAAATCCCGCAAGTCTCACAAGCTTGGTTTGAATGTGTATTGTAAGTCTAAACATCATTAGTTTAAATAATATATATATTAAAACAGAACCTGAAACATGTTGGTACTCACGTTTTTCACGTTTTTTTAAAACTATCTGACCCATGTTTTGGAAACTCATTCGATTTCTCCTCGTAACACGCTACCTTCACATTTACACTAAAGTAATATATGTCAAGAGTTATTGCTCTTGTTCTCACGAAACTTCCATAACGATCATAATATTGTTGTTTTTTAGATGGCCCGGATCCAATCCATATCAACCAAACAGATCACACGGTCATACTTGAAGGGAGAACCTTAGAACCAGTCAGCTGTTCAAGTGCTTGTAATCCACCATGCTCCAGTCGATGGTACAGAGACAAAATTAATCCCTCAAATTTGATTTCAACAGTTAACGGGCTTCTGAAGTTGACCGATATCAACCGAAGTCAGTCTGGAAGCTATTTTTGTCAAGTATCGCACGAGATTTCATCGCAATCTAAGAAAAAGGACATCATTATAGATGTTCAGTGTAAGTACCAAGAAAGCTCTGTCAAAGAGAAAATTCAGACTTAACTTAGATAATGAGTTTTTCTTTTTCACTACTTGGTAATTTTACACATTGTGAACAATCAAATACCATAAAAATGAATACTACTGACTTTAGTTCTAACTTTGATACTCTAAATTTTCATTGTTCAGAGCGTTCACCGTAGTCGTAGTTAGTTTGAGATAATCTTAACAACGGAATCAATTGTATTTACAGATCCACCAAACACAGTCAACCTCAATCCAAACAAACTGGAACCAGTTTTAGAGGGCGATAATGTTAGAATAGAATGTACAGTTAATTGTAATCCAACATGTGCATTATCCTGGTATAAAGATGTTATATCGCCCAGTAATTTAATATCGAGTCACAATGGAGTTTTAGAGTTGAGTAATATTAACAGAACTCAATCTGGGCATTATATCTGTCAGGCTGTTTACAATGTTACTGATGTTAAATCATACAGTTTACCTATAAATGTACATGTTCATTGTAAGTATGATTATATATTCATTAATGTTTTATTCAACACTTCGTGATTTTCTTACTGGTGTTTGTTTGTTTTTAAGGGGAGATAATTCTTTTTCTACAATTGAAGGGTCCGACAATCAGAAATAGCGTTACATGGTTTAAAACGTTAAATGTAATTTATTTTGCGACATACTTCGATTTTTCAGCTTACGGTAAGGACTTGAGTTGGATTAAACGTTCCTTGTTGAGAGCCAGCTTTGTTGTAGCAATATGAATTTGATGATGGCTTCGCTGGTTAGTTAATATAATCTTGACAACGAAATCAATTGTATTTACAGATCCACTAAACACAGTCAACCTCAATCCAAACAAACTGGAACCAGTGTTAGAGGGCGATAATGTTAGAATAGAATGTACAGTTAATTGTAATCCAACATGTGCATTATCCTGGTATAAAGATGTTATATCGCCCAGTAATTTAATAACGAGTCACAATGGAGTTTTATTGTTGAGTAATATTAACAGAACTCAATCTGGACATTATACCTGTCAGGCTGTTTACAATGTTACTGATGTTAAATCATACAGTTTACCTATAAATGTACAAGTGCATTGTAAGTATTTATTCATTATTTACTCTTCGTCCGGTAATTATTAAGGGGGGGTAACTCTTTTTCGACAATTTAATTGTGAATTTAATTTACTTAGCCAGCTACTTTGAATTTGTCTTGCAGGCTAGAGCGTCCGTAGCGTTTTGGAGGAAAATGCACCACTTTAGAAACAACGACCAAACTTATGAAGTTTTTTTGGACTCAAAATCAAATCATAATTGTCAAATGCATATAATAGAGATATTATTTATATCTTTGGCGATGTTAATTTTCGATTTCGATTTGACTTGTTCGGGATTTTGATTTTACGTCCATATTTCAGATGGTCCTGGCGATGTATCATTGAATCAAAGTACTTTCAATGGTGTTATTGAAGGTGAATCTGTAGGTCCGGTTTCTTGTGAAGCTGACTGCAATCCAATTTGTTCTTATTCTTGGCATAAACAACCAAACACAGTTGTCAGTAACAACAACATTCTTCATCTGAAAAACAGCAATAGATCTCAATTAGGAAGTTATTTCTGCCAAGCGTATAACAACATAACTAAACAGGGACGTAAAAGCAATCTAATAGATATAGATGTTTATTGTGAGTATTTCTCTAGTCCCTGTCTAGTTTTCTGTATTGTATCAAACCACCATCGAAGAAAGCTATAGATTGTTCCAATCAACATGCAGTAGCGTATTTAGATGGAAGGCCATAGAGCCACCCACATCGAACTTTAATTTGAAGTGAAAATTAAGCCCCCTAAATGTTCACAATTCATCTCAGGCGATCTGAAGTCCGTTGCCTTTTGAGGGACGCCTGGCCTCAAGGAGTTTCGGCCTTTTGGGTTACGCCCCGGAGAGACACCCCTCCTCAGGTATTTTCTAGATTCGCCCATGGCAACAATTGTTCTTCTTGCCTTCCGAAAAATAAAAATGTTAAAAACCGGTATAAAGGGTACTGCTAAGTAAATGCAAAGCAAGTCTTACACCTTTCGATTTAGTAGTAATCGCACTAAATGCAAATAACATCTGGATACTAGGCATGGTCAAAAGCCTTTGATGACCTTTTTCAATTTTTCATATTTCAGATGGTCCTGGCGATGTATCATTGAATCAAAGTACTTTCAATGGTGTTATTGAAGGTGAATCTGTAGGTCCGGTTTCTTGTGAAGCTGACTGCAATCCAATTTGTTCTTATTCTTGGCATAAACAACCAAACACAGTTGTCAGTAACAACAACATTCTTCATCTGAAAAACAGCAATAGATCTCAATTAGGAAGTTATTTTTGCCAAGCGTATAACAACATAACTAAGCAGGGACGTAAAAGCAATCCAATAGATATAGATGTTTATTGTGAGTATTTCTTTAGATTATCCGATGTGGAAAATTCATTGCCTGCGATTTCCCACGAAGAAAGCAAAATATTGTACCATTCTATATGCGGAAAATCAGCCCTGCAGTTAAAGAACGTAATTTATTTTAATATAAGACACGACGTGTCTTTTGGAACGCAATTTTTTCCTTCGGTATCATATTTCTTTGACAAATCTTTAAACTGTATTTCCAGATGGTCCGATAAAAGTTAAACTTTCTCCGACAAGTTTACCACCAGTACCTGAAGGTAACAATGTCAGTTTAACATGTTCTGCAGAATGCAATCCTACCTGTAATTATACATGGCATAAAAAAACATCTACTTATGCATTGGCAGAGTATGACCATTTGAATCTGTTAGAAGTGAACAGAACCGAAGCCGGGATGTATGTTTGTAGAGCAACAAACCCAAGGATCTCATCCAATCATGAAACTGCAGAAGTCATTATTGATGTGATTTGTAAGTGTTTTAACTCTAATGTTACAAGTTCGGTTATTTTTATTGTGTTTTCTTTAAGGCAACATAATATAATTAAAGCTGCATTTATACTGGTAAATAATACTTAATGTCCTTGACCATTTTAGTTCCTCCAGAAATGACCACTTTACCATTTTAGTTCCTCCAGAAATGACCACATGGACAACATATGAAGAGATCGATAAGGATACAACCAACGTTACAATATATTGTAAAGCTAGCAGCAACCCAGCAGCCATTATATCGTGGTTTAGGGATGTTGGTGATAAGAGTATTGGTATTGGGAATCAACATACAGTAGAAAACGTTATTTGTGAAGATCAGAGGAATTATTCGTGTGTTGCTGAAAATGGTGTTGGACCTCCCGTATCCACTAAATTCTCGTTGTATATCACTTGTATGTACTTTTTTTAAATACCATTGTCTTAATGATATTCCATATTGAGTAATCCATGTTTACCATCCCGGACAGATATTAAGTCTAACCTTATTCGAATGGATACTATTTTATACAGACATATTCTACAAACAATACAGGCAACGTTCATTTTATTTCAGGCTCTGTTTTGAGTACATCTCCAGTCCCAACTACTGATAATAGCACAGTTAAAACGACACCAAATCCATCAACTGGTTCTACCAAAGGAATTTCTACATTATCTCAAACCTTAATAGGAATAGTAGTCGTTGTAGTAATAGTTGTAGTTGTAGTGATTTTGATTTTGGTGTACTTTTTCAAACAGAATAGACAAAAAGATAAAAGTAAGTAATTAACTTTTCTTATTATGATGGAAATCGAATCCTATGCTCTCAGCTTTTATGGAACGTAAAGGGTTTGAAAACAAAACAAATTGATCCCGATTTTATTAAATATGTCAGTAAATGTAGTGTGTTATATCTATCGGAAACTTGGTTGAAGCCTGGTGAAAATCCCAATCTTGAGGGTTTTAACCCTAGTATATTTGTGAATCGAACTCGCAGCAACAAAAAACAATCTATCTGCGGTGGCCTTGCCCTTTTCGTTAAACCTGATTTCCAGAAGTATTTCCAAACCGAGGAAACTAATAATAACGGAATACTAGTGTCTAAAATTGATAAGCAATTTTTGCAATCTAAAAAATCATTGTATAATATATTTGTGCATATACTCCCAGAACGTTCAAAAGCATACAATATAATTGATGATAACTTTTTTAACATAATTGAAAATCTTGTTTGTAAATATCAAAACTTAGGTGATGTTGTCTGTTCTGGTGACTTCAATGGTAGAACCGGAACACTGCGAGATACTATTTATAATGTTCGTGATTCTAGTTATGCGCCTGATTTAGACTATACATGTGCAAATGAGGTCAGTCAAAGGGTCTCAAAAGATAAAATTGTCAATACGTATGGTAGGAAGATTATAAATCTATGTAAATCAAATTACTGATGCAGATGTGCCTCTGATAGGTTTGTTGGAGACTGGACATTCAGCTCTACAAATGGTCACAGTGTAATTGACTATCTAATTGTACCATATGCATACATAGATTTTTGACTGAACTTAGGTTCTAGATTTTCTTGAGTTCTCGAACCACGCTCCTTTATTATTTGATATTGAATTATTAACAAATGTTAATAATGTTAAATTGACAACTGAAAATTTTAAAACAATAGAGTATCTAAAATGGGATTTGGACCTAAAAGAGGAATTTCTTTCAGAAGTCCATGCTCATTTATCAGTTTGGAAATCATATGTTGATTATCTGAATGTAAACCATTCAAGGTCTATCGCACGACTTTAAAAAAGTGTCATATCGTATATTTGGAAAAAAGATTACAAAATGTGATAGAAAAAAGGTACCTATCTGGTTTAACAATAACTGTAAACAAGAAAAGCAAGCTTTTAGTAAATCTCGGAATGTTTATAACAGAAATAAATCAGATGAGAATAGGAGAAAGTATCATAGAGCCAGGAATAAGTACAATAAAACTAAAAAAAATCACTAAATATAAACATTCAAAAAGTCTAGGTTTAAAAGTGTGAAAGTTAGCAAAGCGCAATCCAAAACAATTCTGGTTTTTCTTTCGAAATCAAAACAATGAAAAGACAAGAACTAACCTTACAATAGACAAATTATTTGATCATTTCAGGGGAATTTTAGGAAAAGCCCCAACAAATAATGCACAAGAAAACCTAACTTATCTAGTAGATAGTGACCAATATGTTTTTAACTATTTAAATAGTAATATAACTGAGGATGAAATTCGAAAAGCAATTCTAAAATTAAAGCGGGGGAAAAGTTCTGGTATTGACGGAATTCCACCTGAATTCTTTTTAGATTGTGGAACATTGTTGATACCAATAATTTCTAAATTATTTAACTATATATTCGACAATAATCAATATCCGAAATCTTGGCTAGAAGGCATTCTCATACCCATCCCCCAAAAAGGTAATTTAGATAATCCCAATAACTGTAGAGGAATCAATCTTAGTAGCGTATTTTCCAAAATATTTTCAAACATAATTAATTCTAGGTTATACAAATGGGCCGAGACAAATAATAAAATTCCTGAATTTCAGTTTGGTTTCCGAAAAGGAAAGAGCACTACAGATGCAATTTTTGTTTTACATGGCATTATATCATCGGTATTGAGTCAAAACGAACGGCTATTTTGTGCATTTATTGATCTTAAGAAATATTTTGATAATATTGATCGACCCCTGCTTTTATGCAAATTACAAGAAATAGGTATTGATACGAAAATAGTTAAAATCATCAAATCAATATATTCTAACGTTAAAATATGTGTAAAGCACGGTAATTTATTCTCAAATTTTTTCGACAGTCATCTAGGTGTTAAACAAGGTGAACCGCTATCCCCACTCATGTTTTTACTATTTATGTATGATATCGAAGAATATATGCATATGGGCTCTTCCACTGATCTTTTTAAAGTAAACACGTATTTGTTATTTATTTTATTACTTGCAGATGATACCGTTCTATTTGCAAAATCGAAAACCATGCTTCAAATTCTCCTCAACAAATTCCATTCTTACTGTGAGAAATGGAACTTCGAAATCAACCCCGATAAAACAAAAATCGTAGTTTTTCAAAAATGAATATTTATAACTTGGTGTTCTTTTATATAAAAATGGTAAATATCACGAAGCTCATGCGTTGCCGAACAAGGTCAAAAAGCTCTTGCTTTGAATTATACATTTTCTTAAAAAAAACAGGCTGAAACAGGTGTCAAAAACTGGGCATCCAATATCAAAGAATGTTTAGATAACCTAGGATGTTCATATTTAATCAAGATAGGATTACTCTGGCGGATTTGCAATCCTAAAGAATCGAATAATTGATCAATTTATAAAAGTGTGGTTTTCCGAAGTTAACAATTCCAGTAAACTTAAGTACTATGCAAGATATTATGAAAGTTTTCTCGAGCTAATTATTTAGACATTATAACAAATAAAAAGTTTCGAATTATATTATGTAAATTTAGATCAGGTTCTCTGAAATTAAATGTTGAAGTTGGACGATACTTAAATATCCAAAAAGTTGATCGAATTTGCGAATGTTGTAATTCCAAAATGTTAGAAGATGAATTTCATTTTATTTTGTGTTGACCACTATATAGAAAACTGAGATATCAATATTTACCCCGTTGGTGTTGGAGTTGGCCATCTTTATTGAACATACTAAGTTTCCAAATTTACCGACAATGTCCATGTTATAAATACAAGTTATTTTTGTGGTTATAGGTATTGCAGAATTGCGTGTGTCATTTTCTAAAAGGGATATCACAGACACAGGTACGTGGGAACTTTTACTTTGTGTATTTAGTCCAAATGTCATCCGTAGATGTATTTCGGTAACATGCTTTGACAGTATTAAATATCATTCTTGTATAACTATGTATGTTGTACATTTAAACAGTACAGAAATATAACTTGCCAGGCAAGGTAGTGTAGGACTTCACCTTCCACCTAAACAAATAGTGTCCAGTCATCAAAGCACTTCGACTCAAATATAAAAGTAAATTGTATGTAGATAATTAACATTGTTGTTTCTGTTGTAAACAAGGGTCCGTAAAAGAGCAACGTAAGAGTTAGCTTGCCAGGCAAGGTAACATACGCCCACTACCAACTGTCAGAAATGAAAACAAAGTCTGTAGTGGTTTAATATGTGAAACCAATAAACCGATTTGTACTAATTTCAAGCTTTACTGAGATCTCATACCAAGTTACATCAAGATCGAATAAAAAAATGTAGTCTCTATCAGGCCTACAAGCCAACTTAGACGCACAGAATTAATTCAAGGGCCATAACTCCAAAACCATTCATCCAATTATTACCATTTTTGAACTAGAGATCTCATCAATATATACATGCATACCAAGTTTCATTGAGATTAGATAAAAACTGCACCCTGTATCATCACTACAAGCAAAATTTGAAGCGTTTTTACTAAGTCAAAGGCAATAACTCCAAAACTATTCATCCGATTATGACCAAATTGAAACATGACCGAGACCTTATCAATATAAACATACATACCAAGTTTCATCAAGATCGAATACAAACTGTAGTTTATATCCTGCCTACAAGCCAAATTTGACTAAGTCAAGGGCAATAACCCTGAAATCATTCATCCAATTATTACCAATTTCGAACCTGACCGAAATCTCATCAATATATACATACATACATACTAAGTTTCATCAAGATGGGATCAAAATTGTAGCCTTAATCGTGCATACAAGGCAAATTTAACGCTTTCTACTAAGTCAAGGCAATAACTCTGAAACCATTCTACCGATTATTACCAATTTCGAACTTGACCGAGATCTCATCAATATATACATGCATACCAAGTTTCATCAAGATCAGATTAAAACTGTAGCCTCTATCGTGCATACAAGAAATGTGGACGGACCGACCGGGGCGACGGCAATATACGTTCACATTTCCACGTGGGCGTATAAATAGCACACAATAGAGTTCTTCTAAAGGTGATTGTCCTATAGACAATAGTTGACCAGGTCAACGTCCTGCACAGTTCTTAGTTCTAATTGTAAATTTGGTCACAATATGTCTGTCGGGGTATTCGGGATATGTCCACCATGGCTTGGTCAGTTCGTGGTCGGGATCGGATATCCACCATTCCTGTTAACTATTGCTTTCGCTTCGGATATATGTCCACCATTTCTTGGATACCATTCTGTGTTTTGTGTTCTGGATATATCCACCATATTTTGGATTTAAGCTATGTTTGGAATTCCACCATGTCTTGTACAATATTCTGTTTTGGTTTTGGATATGTAACTAAACTGCTAGAATACAACTCAATAATACTGGATTAGTTACGTGTCAATTGTTGGATGATTGGTAAGTTTTAGACTTACAAGCGAGTCACATTTTGGTCTCTGCTCTCTGGTAGCGAGCGAGGGTCAGTAGGGAATGCAATGTATGGCCTCCAGATATAATTCAGGATATAATTGATTGGTATCCGGGGCGCTTGGCTCTTTCATGGGTACCATGGGTATCATTTCTGGGATACGATCGGTGGGGACCTTACCAGAGCTTTCACCCTTTTTATCAAAGCGGTTACATGGGGATTTGCATTTTTTCATAAAAGGTTTGATTTTGAAGTTTTGCGACTGGATGAAAGTCATCTAATTCAGATACTAATTTTTCGATAGGGATAGTCTCAGTTCCTTTTAATTTTGGTGGTAATTTAGTAAGCGTATAATTGCCAAATGGGTCGGTAATTGGTTTCCAAATATCGGTAATTGATTTATTAAAATTGATTCATTAAACGATAATAAGAAAATAGATCGCTGTTTTCTTACAGTAGTATACGCTCAGTGACAGCTTTGTCCACACCCTTTTTGTCCGTCGGTCCGTTGGTCCGTCCACAATTGCTCGTAAACACTCTAGACGGGACAATTCTTGACTGATTTAGATAGCAAACACTCATACCAAGTTTCATCAATATCCGTCAAGATTTGCATCCTATGGATTGTTTACGAGCATTTCGATCAGATTTTTGCAATGCTGCTGTCATTTAATCGAATCATATTTTACAGGATCGCGGATGCCGGAAGAAGGCATTGAGAATACTGAGTTCAAAGATGATGGCCAATTGCACCTTACATCTTCACAAGAATCAAATGTTTCCTTAAACGCTAGATTATCATTGGGAGATGAGCATTATAATCGCGGTATTAATCCGAGAAATTCACAGACCGATTTAAAACAGATTTGTTCTAAACCAACAAGTAAAACCCATATTTACCACTCACCTGATGGAAGTCTCATCAATATATCAGCATCATCAAATGATTCAACCTCGAGAAAATCCAGGACAAAATATGAACTTAGTAAATCCAAGACACCAGCACCAGCAAATGAAGCAAGAACATCACGATCAGCAAAAGCACATAATTTATGTCATCCATGTTCATCAAAAGCGGAGTCATCGCACGAATCGCGAAGGCCATTCGATGAATCCAAGCATAGTTCAGGGTCGTCAGCGAAACCATACAAATCAACAGCGGTGATTATTACGACGCGTCAAGACCAATATAATATACCTAACGTTGAGCGTGACCAGGACAACACATCTAATGATGGCCATGTACAAGAAAATTTATCTGCAACTGGGCATGATCACAATATTATATCGGATTATGGGCATGACTCCGATAATTTATCTGATGCAGGGCATCCCCACAATGATATATTTACAGTTGATTTTGACCCAGAAAATATGTTTGATGCCTCATGTTAGCAGGATCAAGATGATATATCTGAAGTATTGTAGTGGCACTGTTGGGCATAACCAAGATAATATATCTGATTATGAGTATGAATCAGATTATTTATCTGATGTTGGGCATGATATATATATATTTACAGTTGATCATTACCAATATAATATTTTTCATGCCTTACGTTAGACATAACTAGGGTAATGTTTTATATGAAGTTTTATGATCCCAAATAGAGGTGAATGTTGTTAAAATTGGTCGTTATTTTGCTATTGTTATTTTGTTTTAAAGGGATTGCAAAGAGGTTTTCATAATCGTGTTTGGAGGACAATGATGCACCATTCCCATTTTCAATCGTCTGTGGTTTCTGCAATTCTACTTGAACTAAGTCTTTAATGACGTCACCCCCGCAAAGGTCTTACACAAGAAAATTTTGAGGGGGTGACGTAATAAAACAGTTTTAGTAGACTTGCAGAAACCGTAGACTGTAATGATGCAAATTGAAGCTATCAATGTCCCCGATACGCATAAACAATTTGAAAGCCTCTTTACATTCCCTCTAATATTAATTTATTAATATTGTTATTGAACTTTTTCTAATCATTTTTTTTTTCATTTTAAATCAAATAATTATCAGTTTTATATAGTTGTTTTTAAACTTTTGAAATGCATCATTTTATAATATAGAACATTAGTGGTATTTTGTGAGCCATTCGGAGTAAACCCTAACATGTACAAATAATATACCTATGTGATAAGACAATTTAATTAGCATATATGGTGAAGATATCTACTATGCGTTAATGATGAGATAGATATTCCACACTCTTCTAATTGATTCTTTCCATGTACTATAAAATCTTTCAATAGTTTTGTGAGAAATATCAAGTAGTTGACATCCATATAAAGGCATGCAGTAAGCCTTGAACAGTTTATACATAGGAATAGGCAAATTGAAATTGCTTTAGAGTAATATTTACCCTTGTCGAAAAATTATTAATAGTCTGTTAATTTGAATATCGTTTGTGTCATATTCTAATGTGTTACCTAAGTGCAATTCAGATTTGACTTATTTGACTAATTGGGTTATCATCAAACTATACATCTTTAATGTTTTTATAATAATATTTTCTGTCATAATTCATGAATACTAATTTACTTTTGTTTGCATTAAAAAGTACATCATATTCTTGAGCGTATTTAGAACATATTATATTTAACATTAATTTTAGAGCTTGTCGAGAAGGTGTCATCAATGTCACATCATCGGCATAGGCTAGAACTCCTGTATACATATGCCCTATGTAGCACCCAATACCACTCTGTCCAAGTCTGGTTAATAACTCGTACAATAGACACTGAATATTATAGGGGAGAGTACTCCTCCTTGCTTAACACCATTACAATGAACAAACGTGCATTTTGACCATCTTATTCTGTTTTTCTGATTTGTATACATATTTATCAGAAATCGAGCAGTGAGTGAGTGGACAAATTCATCCCATTATTAGCAGATTAAAAAGCTTAATTAAGTTCAAGCGGTCAAGTGCGCGACACTAAAATTTGTTACCTGTAAGTTGGAATTCTTATTATTTTGATATTTGATGACTTCGTTGAGAATAAAAGAACATTGTATTGTAGAGTGACCTTCCTTAAACCCAAATTGTAAATTAGAGGATTGTAACACATGGTGATTTTGTTTAAATATAATCCAATCAAATATTTTACCAATAATACTACTTAAAGCTATTCCTCTATAGTTGTTCGATTCATTTAGAGATATTTTCCAATAAAATAAAATGTGGAGATGTATATCCATGATGCAGCATGCTAGACATAAGAAGAGATAATTGAACAGAATACAAATGAATAACGTGTTCAGTTGACAGTCCCAATGCTCCATCCTTCTTGTTATGTTTGAGGTGTCTAATTGTAATACATATCTCCAAAACAGAAACGTCATTCGTGTAAGAGCATAACCCTAAAGCACATGAATTGTGGGTTGCAAAATCAAAGTCAGACAGTCAAACATGTCACTACTCTCATAACTGACACAATTATGCAATTGATTATATTTTGCACCAATATTCTTTTCACCAACATAACCATTAATGTTTCGCCATCATGCTGCTATTTCGGGTTTCGTCATTTTATAATATGTTGAGTTGCCACCATATGAATCTATAATTTTACGTAACACTAGGTTTTGTTCTGAATCCCTATTTTATATGTATTATTTAGCAGTAAAGACAGGTATGGTTCCAGGAAGGGTATGCTTACTCTTCTGATCTATTAATGTCATCATTAAATTAAGCTTCCTTGTGGATTCGGATGTTTGCAACATTTTTTTTTTTATCATAACAATTATAATGATCAGTTCCTTCCCTTGACTATTGAAATTGGAAAATGAATTTTCATCAGTTACGTCCCTTCCACAGTTTATATTTTTAGTGTTCGTTCTTTATGTTGAGCGGCTGTGGCACCAGGCGGTGTATGCTTACCCTTCTAAACACTTGATATCATTATGAAATATTAACTAACTTATGATTGATATACTTCCTAATGAGAAAAGTTCATTAGCTGCCACCAATGTTTCGCCAAGTGATATGGATTTCGGGTTTCGTATTGTGGTTCGGTTCGTTAGTACTTGATTTATTTAATGATCCCATCTCTCTGTTAGTATCTTATAGTCGAGCAAAAATATATGTGCACATCCGGCTTCAAAACAAAAACAAAGGACAAGTGGTAATAAGCGCCAGACTTATTGTGTTATTATAATAAACTCAACAAACATTAAAAAAAATATGGACTGCTTGTGTTCTGAATTGTACCCGGATGCGCAAAAATATATATACTATTGATCCTAAATAGTACCCAATTGATGATTCAATATCGCATTGGCCCAAGTCCTAAGGAAGATAAAGCAATACACTGCTTAACATTTGTGGTACAATAAGATCATCTAAAAAAATTTAATTCTCAAAATATAAATGCAGATACATACATATAAAAAAATATAACAAGATAATATACAAAAAAAAAATATACATTTCATGGATAGATTATGTTAAAAGGAAATGATGAAAATGCATATTCTTACTAATGCAAAGGAAACACATGTAAGGCATGTCATCAACGACTGTACAAGAACTCTTCCGTTATTGCTCACTGCAAAAATAAATGAATTCTGTGAATGTAGGCCAGAAGCGGGATATGGTCGTACACAATCCGTTTAACATCCGTCAATAACCTTCAAACCACAAACTCAATAAATTATATAAGAGTGGCCTCTGAACGAAGTGCTATAGTGATCAACATCTGAAAGATAACTAAGTATCATTTGATGGATCGGTGGTTTTGACAGCTTCGTAGCCATTTGTCCTGTCGGGTATCAATTTGGACAGTTTTTCCTTTCTTTTGTTTTGTTGATACCTCAGTTCTTTCCTTTTCTCTCTTTCCAAAGCACATTGTGTATGATTATAATATAGAATGAAATTATTAACCAAAACTGGAACAGTAAAACCAATTAATAAAAGTCCTGATATAGCAGTCATTGATCCAACAAGATACCCGAGATTGGTTACAGGAGAAACATCTCCATACCCTACCGTAGTCATTGTTATAATGGCCCACCAAAATGCTTGAGGGATACTCGGGAAATTTTCTCTTTCTTCGGCGTAATAGATAAGTGAAGAAAACACCAACATGCCTATAATCACAAATAGTAACATAAGAAGTAATTCGTTTATACTTGCTTTTAATGTGTAGAATAATAGCCAAAGTCCGGGGAAGAAACGCATCAAGCGGAAGATCCTTAATACACGCATAACTCGCACCAATAGTATGAATGTCTTTAATCCAGAATCACCAACAGGAAAAACACCCACCCAGGAAGCGCATATAGCAACTACATCCGGTAATAGAGCAAGAAAATCAATGATATTCATTGGCCGTGTGAAGAAACGTACTTTATATGGACAACAGACAAATCGTACGATTATCTCCAATAAAAAGAATATGAAACAAACACAGTCTATAGTAAAGAGTAACGGATGAACTGGTAACATTTTCTCGTGTGGAGATGATACTGATTGTTCTGGCACGGTTGTGTTTGTCAGTTTATTTGTATCCAGTAATACAACGGAGGTGTTCGTTTCATATAGCGCATCATTGGCTTCATCGACGTTTTGCATTTGGAAGTATTCGTGAGTAAAGGCCACATATGAAAATATTGAGAGGAATACAAATATAACCGATATGGCACCATAGATCTGAAAGTAGAAAAAAAATAGAACTCTTACAAATTTGAAAGCACCATCAAGCCATTCTGATTTATAGCTGCAAATGCTAACGCAGCTTTATATCAGAAATTCTACAGCGAGTTATACATCAAATGAAATCCATGCAGTCAAGGAGCATTTCCAATGTCAATGTTCATAGGTAATTGTAAAGACAATAGAGAACATGTACCAATTTCTAGTACAGCTCTACAGAATTTGAGGATGATTATTTCGATCGATATTGTTTAAGTATGATTTAATGAATAATTATGTACCTTTGACCCAATGTTCCAGTTTGGGTTGTTGACGAATTCCCAAACATGATTTAGATATCTCCTTGATTTTGATTGATGACGCTCATGTCTTATTGACCCCATAGTAACTTGACGATCTTCTTCCAACTTCTTTAGATTATCGAGAGTTTGAGACCACGAATTATAATTCAACCAACAACAATCCTCAATGTTAGATTCTTCGACTCCCCAAAATTCCAACTCGGTTTTTATAGCTGATCCACAAATTGAGGACGGTAGATGGAGCTCCCCGGTTCGAAGGTACTGCAGAATTGCTCTAAAAATCTCTGGATCTCGATCAAAGAAGTAATCCTTTTGTTCTTCTCGGTAGTGTCTTTGCAGGAACGTCTTGTCAGCCAGAGGACTATAGGGAAGTCTATGTAAGGTAGCTCGGTATGTTTCAAACGTTGTTCCACCGATGTTGAAGATCAAAATTTCATTGGACGTGGCTACATTGATAAGAACTTTGCCACTATGTTTCTTAATACTGACGCCAGGCATTAAGGCATGAATTGACCCAAGCTGGGATTTCAGTCTTTTTCCGGACATTTTCTGTTCTGGAAATCTAAGTTGAAATACACTCAAATCTCACCAATAGCATTGAACTAATTTGAACAGTTTAAAACAGTGGTTAGACACACATAAAATACTCTGTTGTGTTCTCTGACATTTACAAAAAGGATATTTACTTTATATTTAGTGAATTCTAATTTGGATAATAAATTTCAAGGTACAATACATATATTAGCTGACACAATGGAATGTTATACACGGTTGGATAATTCTAGGAATGAAGAATGTCTTTTAAAAAGCAGTGTTATTGTTTATACTATACACTGACAAAGGAAACACAATCCTAACAAAGATGATTTAAAGGTGAGCGACGTTATCTTTTTCACTAACCAAGTATGTATGTTCAAGAAAGCAACCATGTCATCTGGAAAAAAAATATTTAAATGCATGAGAGCAAGAAAATTAACTGACGCATAGTAGAAAAAACTGTTCAAAACTTGAAAGCACCATCAAGCCATTCTGATTATAATCTGCAAATGGTAACGTCGCTTTATATCAGAAATTCTACAGAGAGTTATACACCAATTGTATGACAATCAAATAATTCGAAAAATCTTAACAATGTGTTTAGTCAATGGGAAACCAACACCGTGATTTGTGTCATATTGGGTTTTTGTCATCTATTTCATTTTTAAAGAAAGGTCGAAGTTAGTTTCCCAAATTATTTCAGTCACATAAGATGACAATTATGGCCTATTTGTTTGTTAAAGTTGATGACATTTATGTGACAACTATGAAAACTAAGAAAAAGAGATGTAACCATCGAATTGTTTTTTTTTTCACATATATGCTCTCCTGTATATTTTTTTAGAGGTGGGACCCCTTGAAAGTGGGGTCCGTAGACTTGGTTTAGCCAGTCCCTGTGGTAGTTGAGCCACTATCGTGTTTAACACAGGCAGAATTTCTACTACCAAAAGGTAATATCCTATCTGATGCGAAGACAGCTCAGGAAACGTCGCTTTTTGGCATGTAAGCTGCTCCGCTCTACATTGTGATTGAAATAATAAATCATATTAGTGCAATTTTTAGATTTTTAGATTCTTACTAAGATGCAATTTAAGCAAAATTAAGTACACACTTGGATTCTTATGCATCCACAATCTGCAAATTTAAAAAAATCTCAGATCATTCCATTCAATCATATTTGCTGGAATAGTGCTAGAGTTGATTTTGTGTCAATCTTTATACTTCATATTAGTATCCAAAATATAACTCATAAGGTATAAATTGTATTTTGCAAAGGTGAATTATAAAATTTCGAACTATTGAGGCATCATCACCTGTAAATCGTAGTCTTAACAAAATAGTACAATCCTTTAAATATGCTATTCATTTTCTCCCATCCTACAGTTTGGTATGTTTATTTAGTCGAAATAAACAAGGTGTGCTAATATAGATTTTTATATTTCATTATATACGAAGGATAGGGTCCAGCTCAACACCCATGTACGTTACATTAGGATTTTCAACCCAATTTCTATAATATATTTCAATGGATCGGATAAAAATATAAAAAAAATCAGTTACAATAAAGGCATGTACAACAGTGCTGTGGATGTGTATTTATTGACTATGTTCATTGAATTAAGCATGCGTTTTTCCGGGTGAGAATAAACACATAGCGGGGATGTTAACCACGCCCCGTACGTAGCTTCACATGTGATTTGAGATCCTCTACAGTGTAAGCTGTTCAGGTGTGACATCAACATTTAAACACCTCATTTCATATGCATACTGATTAATTAATCTGGTTTTAAAATCTGTACAAAATGGTTTTTTCCATATTGAATGAAATCTTACCTTTATTTTGAAGATTTTTACTTCTTTCACTTTTCCAAAACACTTAAAAAAAATATGTCTCCTTTTGTACTATCATAGTTTATGTTGATGATAGGTTTCAACACGGGACAAAGACTTTCTTCCGTCTCATTCAACCGTGAATCATACACGTAAAATCAAAATTCACACCTCATTCGTGCCATTATATTTACACAAATATGTAGGTTATAGGATCATAATAGCGTGCAAATTATTCACTACCTCAGGCCAATTGAAAACGAAAAATCTATCTTGAATTTGGACAGATATTTTAATGTCAAACTGTCCTCAAATTTAAATCTAAAAGAATGTCAACTAACTCGTTAGAGACATTTAAACACAAGTTACATACATCACTGCATGTCATTAAAAAATAAACTAGGGTTATTTGGTGAATTTTAGTTTACTGTAAATTTTATGCAAAAATAGTTTCCATTTTTGAAGTTGTTTATTAAGTACGAAACTGTTTTAACATCATAAAGATCCATTTTACTGAACACCTTCGGTGAAACCACATCATGATATCAGAAGCCATTTGGAATGAACATGTTTCCTTTGTTAGACTGGAAAATATTTTCAGATTCTTAGTTGGGAAGGGCAATCTATAGGAAAATTATCATTGTTAAGTTGGAAAGGGACTTGTTTTATGATTATCACTGTTAGGTTGGAAAGGGACTTGTTTTATGATTATCACTGTTAGATTGGAAAGGAACTTGTTTTATGATTATCACTGTTAGATTGGAAAGGAACTTGTTTTATGATTATCGCTGTTAGGTCGGAAAGGGACTTGTTTTATGATTATCACTGTTAGATTGGAAAGGAACTTATTTTATGATTATCACTGTTAGATTGGAAAGGGACTTGTTTTATGATTATCACTGTTAAGTTGGAAAGGGACTTGTTTTATGATCATCACTATTAGGATGGAAAGGGACTTGTTTTATGATAATCACTGTTAGGTCGGAAAGGGACTTGTTTTATGATTATCACTGTTAGGACGGAAAGGGGCTTGTTTTATTATTATCACTGTTAGGTCGGAAAGGGACTTGTTTTAATATTATCACTGTTAGATTGGAAAGGAACTTGTTTTATGATTATCACTGTTAGATTGGAAAGGAATTGTTTTATGATCATCACTGTTAGCTTGGAAAGGGACTTGTTTTATGATTATCACTGTTAGGTCGGAAAGGAACTTGTTTTAATATTATCACTGTTAGATTGAAAAGGAACTTGTTTTATGATTATCACTGTTAGATTGGAAAGGAACTTGTTTTATGATCATCACTGTTAGCTTGGAAAGGGACTTGTTTTATGATTATCACTGTTAGATTGGAAAGGAACTTGTTTTATGATTATCACTGTTAGGTCGGAAAGGGACTTGTTTTATGATTTTGCTTTTGTTTGCCTAGACTAAAATTGCTCATGGTCAAGTACATATTATGAGAACTAAACATAGATTCAATATCAATATGTTTTAATATTTCATTGAGACCTTCTCAGCATGCGAATGTTCATTAATGTCGCCCCGGATGTACAGTGAATAGTAGTCAAGTGGGTTGATGTCAATAAATAGGCTGTGTCTATTCAACATATACATCTACACCTGAATAAATCTCATCAACAAATATTTTAAATAGAAATTTGAGAATAAAGAAATTGTTTATTGAAAGAAACACAGATTTTAGTCCATGAGCGTGTACAATTTGAGGTCAGCATTGGCACAATTACATTCATAAAAAGTTTTCGCGCCCAAATATCTTTTTTTTTTTTGATATGTGGACTTTTTGCGTAAATTCGAATTATATTTACATTTTGGAGACCTTCTGAGAATATCATATTCGGAAATAGAAAATTACCGTTTATAAACTAGATGAGAACACCACGCGGTAAATGTTGTTTAAAATGCACTATTTGATCATCGCAAACTGAACCTCTCTGCATTATGTAAATAAAGACTATATCTCATTATTATGCACATATCATTATCATATTTATTTACTATTTATAATTACATTTCATGTTGATTTCTGCTTATGCCAATCACACTAACTGTTCTTTCACTGGTTTATTTCATCACTGTATTTGTTCGGAACTATGCCGCTTTGAGATACGTACAAACACATTATCCATTTCAAAAAAAAATTGTTAGTTTCCGATTCTTTCCTTGAGCAAATCAATTTTATAGGTCATTTAACGACATAAAAAAAAACAAAACAAAAAAAACATGCGTTTTAGATATAATCTTCGAGATATCTTCATAATCATCAGATAGAGCGCAATTTCAGCATTTCAGAATTAAGTGATACGTAAGTGTCCAGATAAAATGAACATTGGAAGTTGAGAATAGTGCAATTCCGGGCCATTGTAACTTACATTATCGGTATTTATGATACCATCGATGATAACCTCCATAAAAATACCGACGACAATGTCAAATAGGTTTGCTTGCATGGAAACGGGAAACTCTTTAATTTGAAGATTATGGACAGCTGATAACTGTACAAGTAAAACAAAACAATTAGAATTCTTAGAATATACATTAGATGTTGCATTTAAATTATTGTGAATACGACAAATTATCTTCATTTTCTAACGCTGCATGTTTCTACTGGAACAAAACCTTAAATATTGTTATAGAAGAAACATACAGCCCAAGGGCTATGTTCTTTGAGTAAGGAAGGTTGTTTCTAAAGTACTTTTCCCGAGAAGACACACTAACTGTTCTTTCACTGGTTTATTTCATCACTGTATTTGTTCGGAACTATGCCGCTTTGAGATACGTACAAACACATTATCCATTTAAAAAAAAATTGTTAGTTTCCGATTCTTTCCTTGAGCAAATCAATATTGTAATCAAGATTGTACATACGCCTTAGCCGTTTTTTTTTTTTTTTTTGGATACGAGAGTTCCACCGGCTCAGCCTTGCATTGTTGTGGAACATCATTACGACACCATTGCGTTTTAGACGAGTATCTGTCCGTTCTGTTCAGTCTTGAGAGTCTCTGCACTCACCACAGTACCTGCTTTATCTGCTATAAGTTTAGCAATTCTTTCTTTACGCTTCTTTTGCTGATACCTCAGCTCATTCCTTTTCTCTCTTTCCAAGGCACATTGTGTATGATTATAATATAGAATGAAATTATTAACCAAAACTGGAACAGTAAAACCAATTAATAAAAGTCCTGATATAGCAGTCATTGATCCAACAAGATACCCGAGATTGGTTACAGGAGAAACATCTCCATACCCTACCGTAGTCATTGTTATAATGGCCCACCAAAATGCTTGAGGGATACTCGGGAAATTTTCTCTTTCTTCGGCGTAATAGATAAGTGAAGAAAACACCAACATGCCTATAATCACAAATAGTAACATAAGAAGTAATTCGTTTATACTTGCTTTTAATGTGTAGAATAATAGCCAAAGTCCGGGGAAGAAACGCATCAAGCGGAAGATCCTTAATACACGCATAACTCGCACCAGTAGTATGAATGTCTTTAATCCAGAATCGCCAACAGGAAAAACACCCACCCAGGAAGCGCATATAGCAACTACATCCGGTAATAGAGCAAGGAAATCAATGATATTCATTGGCCGTGTGCAGAAACGTACTTTATATGGACAACAGACAAATCGTACGATTATCTCCAATAAAAAGAATATGAAACAAACACAGTCTATAGTAAAGAGTAACGGATGAACTGGTACCATTTTCTCAGATGTCCATTGCGATGAGTTATCAGCGGTGGTATTCGGAATCAATTCGTCCAGTGGTTGAACTTGGAAATATTCATGAGTAAAGGCCACGTAAGAAAATATTGACAGGAATACAAATATAACTGAGATAGCTCCGTATATCTGAAAATATAGACCAAAATTGTTATGATATATCATACAAGCAACGAATGGCGATATTAGCATAGAATAGAAATGATTTTTTACATGCTTACATGGATATGTAAGTGGGTGGTTTGCTATGTCTTGATTGATGCAAGCCGGATCCTCTATTTGGGTTTTTACACCACCTCTAATTGTAAATGGACTATTGATATACCGGTATGGAAATGGCGACCTACCTTTGACCACAGATTCCAATTAGGATTATTGAGGAATTGCCAACCATTGTTCAGGTAACGTCTCGATTTCCTGATTAGTTGCTTCTCGTGTCTTATAGACCCCATAGTAACTTGACGATCCTTTTCTAACTTCTTTAGATTATCGAGAGTTTGAGACCATGAATTATAATTCAACCAACAACAATCCTCGATAGTAGATTCTTCGACTCCCCAAAATTCCAACTCGGTTTTTATGGCTGATCCACAAGTTGAAGATGGTAGATGGAGCTGCCCGGTACGGAGATATTGCAGAACTGATTTAAATACATTGGGATCTCTATCGAAAAAATAGTCACCATGTTCCTTTCTGAAGTGTTTCTTCAAAAACATATTGTCCGTCAAGGGACTGTCGGGGTTCCGGAATAGCGTATCACGATATGTTTCAAATTTGGCACCACCAACGTTAAAAAGCAGTGTTTCAGTCGAAATAGAAACATTAAAGGCAATTTTACTTTTAGGGTGGTTCTTCTTCAACAATGCATTGAGAGAATCGGGGTGAGTTTTGTTACCGGACATTTTATTTCCACCAAAGTACCAACGATATCTGAAATGCTAAAGTGACGTTTTATTTTTAGATAGTGATGGATGGTGTCAAATTCATTCCCATTCTCGGAAACAACCAATAAAAACTTAAAACACACTTGCCTAATTATCCATGAATATGTATCTGAACTGAAACATAAGAAATATTCTTCTGCTTCAAGGAGAATCAGGTCAAATATGAGATGAATTAAATAGTCATTTACAATGGGTGATGAAAAGAACAAAAGATGAGCCATAGATACAGTTCGTGAATGTCCACACATTTGTCGCTTCATTTATGCCCGGTTCGTCTTTAATCAGGCTCAATCGAATTATATAAGGAAATTCTTTGGATGACCTATAATCTTTGAATTTGTAAATGTTTTACTTGTGGCTTGAATATGCTTTTTTACTATCAAAAGATACACACAGAACAAATATATTAATCCACTTACCTGACTCGACCAACTCTGATATCCAAAAACCGCCGAAGTGATGTGTTCTGATAAAACACCATGCCTCATGAATATTTACTATTATACCACAACAAAGACCATTTTAACAGTTTTCAATAGGAGTGGGGTGAATCTATAAAAAGACTGCATTAATGTGGTTCTAATTTTGGATTTAATATTATCAACTATTACCTTCATTTAAAAATGGGCCTTTACTATTCGTCTAGTTATGTATTAAATTAAGGATTAAAACAGATTAGCAATTTCAATTGTTTCCTATTATGTTTCACACCGTGAAGATTATTTTTCAAAAAAACAATATATTCCGATATCCTGTCGTTCGGCTAATTATTCAGATCATGAAAAGGGTGTGCAAACAAAATTGAGTAATTAAGAAACTTAAACTTGACCCACGCACATTTGACAGTCCCTTCGTCCTCTAGGATTTTGGTGAAGATATCTGGTAATATTTAAAGGGGGATTATGATTTTTTTCGTAGGTCCAAAATGTTTCTTGCTAAATATTTTGAAAACTTTACACTAAAATATGGAGAAATGTGCCTCTTAGCTATAATTCTTAACTAGAAAATTAACGCCAAAACTGTTTAAAAAGTTGAACGCTCCAGTTTGCTTTTAATCATTTTAAAGGTTTCAACTAAAAAAGTCATTATGAGGCCTAACGCCAAACTAGTTTAAGCTGCTTACTCAACAATTAGTACACTCCCTTTTTAATTAACCTTTTTAAAAAAATTCTGTTTGATCAAGTAGATGCATACATGTAAGTAGCAATATTCTCTGGTATAATTTACGACGTATTTTGATAATGAAAATTTTGCATACTGTCCCTTTAAGGATGAAACCTTTGAAAAATCGAGTTATTTCCCCTGTTAGAAACTCATTCGATTTTTAGATCGCAAACACTTGAGAGACACATGCTAATAACATAACAAAAAACTCGCCTGACCTAGCAAGCAAAAGAGGCGGAGCTTAAACTGAACTCAAAATATAGCAATAGTTTTAATCGATATGAATGACTTGAGGTTGTGCCTGTGCTTTTCACCATTCTCTTGCTCTTTTTTGTAAGGAGAATACAACATAACTTGAACTGTGCAAGGGACTGACATGTAATCAGCAGTTACATTTCATATCACTTAATCCAAGTGGGACAAAGATTTAAGTACAAGATATCACAAAAATGTATTAAATTTTACCCATCAGATCAAATTTTAAATTTTATTTCTTTGTAAGCTTCGTTTGATCGTTCAAATTCGACAAAATAACGTGTATACGATGTTATCCTGATAACATGACAACTATGCTTGGTGTGCACCAAACCGAAGATTTCGACTTTTCTTTTCAATTGAATTTCAACAATATTTAGATAATTTCAAAATGAAAATATTTATCTTCCATCCCTGACATCAGGTTGGATTTCCTTTGTCAACACTCTCTAGTCATGCCAGGGTCGGGATTGGCGTCGGCATACATGCACATGATTATTGTTTTTTGTCTGTTAAAATGAAATGTAAGCTAGTTTGTCGATCTACATTAATATATTTCTTGATATTTTATATATGAACCGTAATTAAACCATTTGAGTGATCTAGAATCAAATTTTACATGATAATGGCACATTCAAAGTCAAAGAGTTTTGAACTTGACTTAGATATCATCAATTAACCCCTGTTATGTTTTTTAACATATAACATGATTGTTGACCCAATAGATATAGATATATATATATATATATATATATATATTTACATTACAATAGAAACGTTTTCTATGGAAAAGTGTTAAGACTAATTTTGTCTTTCGGCTTGACCTAATCGTTGACAAGGTTAACCATTTTGTTAGTGTAAAAGATATCCAAGTTACCAATATATTGCCATATACCTTAAATATTATTAATTATAAAGTCATACCCCACAGATAACCGAAGTATACTATAATGTGACATTTGTCAAGATGTCAGGATGGACTATGACAATGTCTGAACATCAATGACAACCTCGGTCTTAATCGGATATATACACTCAAAAGTATTTTCTTTCGATATCATTTTTTTTGATTTTTTGTTTAATTTATATCGAGCTTCGTGAAGACTCTCTCGTTCTAAAGCAGACTGACAATGACTATAATATAGTATAAAATTATTTACTAACACTGGGACCGTAAAACCAATTAATAACGGTCCACATATTGCCGCTGCCGACCCGATCAGGTATCCCACATTTGTAACAGGAACGACCTCACCATATCCGACCGTCGTCATGGTAATTATAGCCCACCAGAACGCTCGTGGAATATCTGGAAATGTTTCTCTGCCCTCGGCGTAATAAATAAGGGATGCAAACACCAACATTCCTATGAACACAAACACCAGCATCTGAAGTAGTTCATTAATACTGGCTTTCAAAGTGTAAAACAGAAGCCAGAGTCCGGGTAAAAATCGCATCAAACGGAAAATCCTAAATACCCTTACTATTCGACAGATTGCTACAAATGAGTTAAGAACTCTGTTAGGACTGGGATAACCACCAAATCCAATCGCAAAAAATGCCACAACATCGGGGAGAAGAGCTAAAAAGTCTACAATATTCATAGGAGTTACACAAAATTGGAGTCTACATGGGCAACAGATAAACCTCAGTATCATTTCTAACGCAAAGAAACTGAAGCAGATACAATCGATGGTAAATAGTACTGGATGAACATCCAGATGGACATGGTTAAATATGTATCTATCTGGTTCTGTGTCCGTAGTATTACTCCTTTCCGTTGACTCATCCAGGAAATTCTCGTGTGTCTGTGACACAAACGATATAATCGACAGGAATACAAACACAATCGACAATGCTCCGTATATCTGAAACGAATTAAAAACGAAATGAATGTTTGTCGATATACCAATCATGTTTCTAGCAAGTGTCTACATATGATCTTTAATGTCAAACAGTTAAACAGTCAGAGTAGCAGATGAAAAACATGCATCTAAGCGTGAACGATCTCAATTGACTTTGATTATAATTAAAAACAGAGCTATGCCTACGCCTAATAATTTTCTTTTTAAAATCGTATAAATGAAGATTATTTTCTACATAATATGCCAATCTGAAGATATAAACTGACAATTTTTTTTCAAAATATGAAGCCCACGAGACTGTCATTTATCTGTCATATTTAGAACAAGCAATTGCATACTCATTTAACAAGTATAGTAACTTCTAGTCGTAAATATGGCCGACCAATTGCTGTTTCTTTAATACAAAAAAAAGAAAAGCATCATAAATTTAAGCCAATCTTCATCTTCAAAATCTGTCAAAGAGGAAGAACAACAAAACGAATTGAATGAACAACTATATTTATTTTCAATTAGATATATTACCTTTGAACTTGTCGACCAATTCGGATTACTCAAAAATTCCCACCCATGATGTTTTAGTGTTTCCCATTTGCCCTGTCCATGATGAGGATGGGGTTCGCTATGATGGTTTTTGGTCAGTCCAATAGACTTCTTTCGATCTACTTCTAGTTTTGTTAGTGACTGAAGAGTTTGAGTCCAGGAATTATAATTCAACCAACAGCAGTCTTCGATATTCAGTTCTGATATTCCCCAAAAATCCAACTCCGTTTTAACAGCAGAACCACATAGTGATGAGCTGAGGTGAAGCTCCCCGGTTCTGAGGTATTGAAGAACAGATTTAAACACGTCAGGATCGCGATCAAAGAAATATTCACGGTCATCTAATTGGTAATATTTGTTCAGAAAACTATCATTTGATAAGGGACTTTGTGGTATTCTTCGTAGTGTAGATTTATATGTTTCAAATTTGGTGCCACCAATATTGAACACCACCTTGTCGTTGGATGTTGACATATTTATCAATATATTACCATTGTTAGCTAGCCTGTAGCCTGGCATCAAGGCATTCATTGTCTGGCCATGTCGTAGAGCAAACATAGTGTGCTTATGTTAGAACTGTTCATATACAGCATATAGACTGAAATACAAAAAATAAGAAAGATTTTACACAAAGGTATATATACCCATACACGTGGTATACACTCAAATTTCAAGAAATGAACTGTATTGAACCGATATGAAGGTGAATTTGATATTGTCTGCTCTTAATGCTGCTAATGCTAAGGTAATTTCTAATTGCCCGGTTTGGAGACTGCGATCGAATCGACCCGTGTTAATGAGACACTCACACAAGTTTTAAATTCAGCTCAAGATATAAATCAATCATGTCTTTATGAAGCCCAAATGTTAGTGATTACGCGACATCAATGCCAAAATTTTTTAGATCCGTATAACGATTCATAACACCATCTGTCTATGATGCCAAAGTAATTTGAAATGAACCCCAGACAATCTCTCTAAATCTAAATACTTGCAAAGCTATAGCAATTTGTTCCTGAGATGCTAAATAGATTAAAGTGAAACATTCAAAATATCCGGAAAGGCAGAAGAAAACATCAAAATGTGAAAAACGGCCAAATTACAGTGACTATCTTCAAAATTTACAAATCTTTGAGTTCGCCGTACAAATAGAGTAAAAATTGAGTATACGACATTATTGTACTGAACACAACATACAGCTCAAGTTGGTACGATGGTTATTTCATGACCACATCACACAATATCCAAGTAAACTAAGGGGCCACTGCATATATCTTTTAGTTGCTTCTGCAGGTACCTTTAATCAGGTTCCCCATGCACAGGTCGTTAGAAAGTACCATAAACCGAGAATGAGTGTACAAAAGACTGTCTACTTGTGATCGTTTTAAGGAAGAAATGATTTTATGTCGCTTTCGTGGTAAAATTGTCCTTAATGGACACGATTTGGAACCATCCATCAGCATCATTACAATGATCTAGTGGAAATGGCAAGACAGGACTTACACGCTTCTCGAGCACCTAATGCAAATGTGAATGTGAAATTCACATTGGTCAACATGTTACTGTGTTTTTTAAAAACGTCGGTCAAAAATGATGTACCAAAATCATAAATGTACGAACCTTATAACGCTGATGTAGCTCTGCGTCCAAGTACAACTGATTAAAATACGTTCATTCACCTTTTATATGGGGCGTATAAGAGGGGCCGGGAAGATAGCATATTTCTAACCACGTGCTTTTAAGGCTGAGTTATTTTCATTTGTTTCCTCGCCTATTTGTTTATTTTTAGATAAATACGTTATGAAAGATGAATCATTCAGTTTGTCCACAGACCATGTCCATTTTATACTTGCTTATAACTTATATGTTATATTATACCTAAGAGGATAAGGTTTAGATATCTGTACATCTTTATATCTTTAAATAATATCTGTGAAAGTATAAACGGAAGATTCTATTTCACAAGAGATAATCTTAAGATATTGACACATATACATAAGTACAGCTTGTTTTGAATGCTGTGTCAAAGTTCGCTTACGAAACTAAATAAACAATCTGTACTTGGCAACTCTGCCATCAAACCATTTGGCAATCTTCTACTCCCTCGAGAATCTGTCTGGCCTCGTGACTATCGCAGGTCATGTATTTCGACCAAAGTTATGTCTTTTGCACGAACAGGTGCAATCTTCATTTTATTCTCCGTTCACTACTTTGTATTTTCAGTGTCCCACTCGAGTTTGGACGACTCGGTATCTTCTTCACACAGGCCCGTAGCCAATCTTGATTGTTCAGAGGGACAATTAATACATATCTAGAGGGGCTTAATGAGTTGTCAAACCTATGATATATTATGTCCACAAACTTTTCCTGGTTAAGGCTTCAGAAAAGTGTCAGTGGTACTATCTTTTGGCTTTTTGACTCAATAAGAATATGAATGATTCCAGTGCTTATATATCAGTTTAGCTTTCGTCATGAATGTCCAAGGCTTGAGCAATCTACAAGTATCATGTTATTTGTTTTAAATGAAACTATCTGTTCTATGCATCATTATGAATTTCGGTGAGTGTTGGTGTGTTTTTTTTTCATCAAAAAAATATCTGTTTTTCAGATATCATCGGATAATCAATAAACCATCTCCATCTTCTCTTGAAGGCTTCACAAACTTCCGACTTTTGTTTATTGATTTTTTGTGTATCGATTTAATTTCCCTTATACCCAATTCAATACACCTATACACCTCGGGGTATCTGTTTATAGCTGAATTTTATTAACAACCCCCCGGGCAATAATTGATGATATGAAGGTTTGTGATTCAGTTAACTTATAACCTCTCTGCCCTTGAACGCCCTGTAGCAAACTGATTTATTTGCATTGAATAATTCATGAACTCTTATTAATATGAAATTTTGAAGGCCATAAAATATATTTTCCAAATTCGAAACAATGATCACAAAGCGCAGTAGTTAATTATATTTCTGATTTATCTTTGACATCAACAGCAAGATGATAAGCAGATAAAGGTTTAAAATAATAATAATAGACAGTCACACAAACAACCTGCCTTCTTCTCAAGAGCAGCCTAACTGGTTAAAGTATTACATTTAATTGACGTAATTATAAATTATAAGAAAAAAATGAAATAAATGGGAGTTTTACGTCCTACTTTTATGCACCTAATCGGGCTAATGTAGACGGGCAGTGCCATGCAGTGAGCAATGCGGGTGGAAATTTTGCTGGGACAGCGGCATTAGCCTACTCTTTTTCGATTGTGGGATCTTTAACGTGCACATTTTGTAGCAATCGAGGACTCGGTTTTTGTCCGATCCAAACGTCTAGCCCCTCCGACCTGCAGCATTTAACCGGATTAAACCGGTTTAACGTGTATATCATGCAGAACAAAACAAACAGGAGATAAACTATCTGTACAATAGCCAAAGATAACATTAATCATCGGATCGGATGAAGTGACATAACAATACACTGAAACTTGATCTGTTTTTAGATAAAGATACATGATGAAAACAATTTATTAACACGTTGTTGAACGGGATACACACTTTTTAGATATATCATCCCAGTATAAGCCCGAAAAACATGTGTTATCTAATTTCATTCCCCACATGCATGAAACATATTTAGTACACATATCACAAGATTGATAATTCCCCTCTGGCATTCCGTTACAGTCTTTAACACAAGGTACTTTTAGAACACCATTGGAAGATTCTAGTGGCTGTTTATCGATTTGATTGTTTGTCTTAAAGGCAGTGTTACCTTCTGAAGGATCTTCGTTTTGTGGGATATCTGGATTGATAGAATATTCTCTGTTCCATTCCTCTAGAGGATCATCCGTTTCCACCGTCACTTCTTCTAGAGGATCATCCGTTTTCAATGTCACTTCCTCTGGTGGATCTTCTTTGTTCGACGTCACGTCCTCTGGTGGATCATCCGTTTTCAATGTCACTTCCTCTGGAGGATCATCTGTCTTCATCGTCACCTCCTCTCGTGGATCATCTGTCTTCGTCGTCACTTCCTCTCGCGGATCATCTGTTTTTGACGTCACGTCCTCCGGTGAATCATCTGTTTTTGACGTCACGTCCTCTAGGGGATCATCCGTTTTTAATGTCATTTCCTCTTGAGGATCATCTGTCTTCATCGTCACTACCTCTGGTGGATCATCTGTCTTCGTCGTCACTTCCTCTGGAGAATCATCAGTCTTCGTCGCCACTTCCTCTGGTGGATCATCTATCTTTGTCGTCACTTCCTCTGGTGGATCATCTGTTTTCATTGTCACTTCCTCTGGTTTATCATCTGTTTTCATTGTCACTTCCTCTGATGGATCATCTGTTTTCATTGTCACTTCCTCTGGTTGATCATCTGTTTTCATTGTCACTTCCTCTGGTGGATCATCTGTTTTCATTGTCACTTCCTCTGGTGGATCATCTGTTTTCAACGTCACTTCCTCTGGTAGGTCACCTGATCTCAGGGTAACTTTGAACTCGCTATTTAAATCCTTGACTTCAACCGCTTGGTCGTCTTTATTCAATAACTGATTTTTGTCGTCATTGTTAACTTTTTTATCTCTTTTTTTGAACAAACTCTTTGAAGGTTTGTTAAACGTACGTTCGATTCCAATTCTTCCCGGTGCTAAGCTTATGCTGTTCCTGCAATAAAAGGGAAAGTTTAATCTTATGCCGCGGACGGGTCAATCTGAGAGCTAAAATATTAATACAGAAACTTCCTATGCGAGAGAGAAATAGTCCTATCTGCTTGAAACTACCTTGGTTTCTTTCTAAATCCTGTACCATGACTATAATAAATTTCATTAAATCACAATGAGTGGACAGACCAGCGTGGAAATGTTTAAAATTTAACAAACCACGACGTAAAAATATGGGCATTTCGAATACTGATTGGAACAAATATATGACGCTTTTTGAAGGTTTTTTCTATAGATTAAGGATAATTTGGTACTAACCAACATTTTGAGTTCTGAGGGAAATTGCATATTCCATAAGTAATATCAAATACTAAATTTTCCGGACAAGCTCTTTCAACAGCATAACCAAATATACAGTAGATGAATTTATTACATTCTGTACAATGTGGATATACACCAACACCACTTTCACAAGCATCATCAACACAACGGCTTATAGCTGAAATTAACAAACCAAATTATACTGCACTATACCAATTATGTACATAATGATATGTTCAGTGGGGAAAGTATGGATGTCGTTCAAATAGAAAAAAATCAAGCAAGTCTTTTTATTATTTTTTTTTCAAGCATTACAGGATATGGGATGAATAGAATCTTCAAAGATTAGATTATTTAAAGCTTCTCTCTGTACAAATGTATAGTTTTCCATATTTTTCATTTAGTTGAATAATGAGCCAATTGTTCCTTTAATTTGAATGCTGATAATGTCTTATGCAAAATGGATGTTGTATTGAGCTTGATTCTGAAATGATTCTCTAAAACCAGAGATAAAACTCTGAGAGACGATACGCAATATTTTTGTTGTTGTCTTGTTCAATTTTTAAAACTAAAGTTATCTTACCATGAAGTTGTACATGAAGTCCACTTAATTTTGAATACAACGACAGATGAATAATCAAAATTCCAACTGAAAACATAAAGATTGAAAGTGATATATCAACATAATGTATATATTCATTCCACAAAACACATAAAACGTTTAGAAAACGTCTTTACAATCCCTTTAATATTTTCCGAGTTTATAAAGGCAATTTTCAAGAAGTTTAATGTAATTAAACGTCTTCATCTAGGTAAAAGACATTCAAAGTGTTATTTATACCATTCAGATATTACAAAAATTGCATGGCAAATCGACTGAAAATGAACAATAAGAAACATTCTGAAATTAGTTTGAAAGTAGTGAATGAATAAACTTACTATATAAAAAATCCATTTTGTCAACGCTCCTGATCTTAAATCATTATGTACAAAAGAGGGCCAATGGTGTACTGAGTTTATGGAACAGGCAATGGTGGGTTTTTAAACTCTTGATGACACAATTTTAATTATCTATATAGATAAAAGATTCGATATGTATCCCCGTCGGTGGTGGTATTATAAAGTACATCTAGTATCTGATATGTTACTGTGTGGGAAAAATTCAAGATTTCGATGACATTTACCCGATGCCCAGAAGTAATTTCAACAGATTGAATCTTGTAAATTGTTTCTATTGTCATTTATTAAATAACACTAGTAGATATAAATCAATTTAAATACTTCAAGGGAAATAACTCTATAGTACATTTAGCCCAAATATACTGTCAGTACTGTACTGCACTAAAATTTATATTTTCTTTCATTATGGTAACAAACACGTATTCAAATTTAATAATAAGAATATTAGAGGGGTTTGAAATTCTTAGAATGTTCGCCTGAAAGGTAAGCAGGAATCGCCTAGAAAAAGCACATCATTTTTTAGAGTACATGTATGGCTCGAAGATAAACCACGTAGTTTGGTCGAATAATGACAACAACACACCCGAAGCTACAGGGATCCCCCAGACAAAATGTCCTGAAAAAATTCTAACTTGAAACAGTCACCTCGGGGGAATGTAAAGCTTCATAGGATCAACGTCATCAAAAAAACATTAATGTTTAGATATAATCTAATTGATGCATATCATACTAACATACACTGCAAAACTCTTATTCCTCAATCTTTCGACATAATTTGGACAAGTTACCACGCCTTATTTCTTTTCATTGCCGTTGCAGACATATCGGACAACGAAATTTGCTTCTGAAAAGTCTTTCAGGGAGATGAAATTAACTTAAAACTTTTATAAAAAAAAACTACTAAATCCCTTAAATGGAAATGTTTTATGTTTCATGACACAAACATATAAAGACTTAAGTATATTAACTTTACTCTAAGACGATTTAAGACAATAGAGCTAAATGTATATATTTATTGGTTCACAAGACAAAAACAACCTTCTATATGAAAAAGACAATAGGAATACAATATTCGTTAACTTAAATTTTACACATAATTATCGATTACATATAAGATATCGATTGCAAAATTTTTACATAAATTGAAATAATATAATATTTTTAGTGTGAAAGTAACGTTTATGTTTGTGTACTATTTTAGTCGAATATCCCTTTCGAGAATGAATGAGTTGGGTTCTACTAAAACGACACACCGCGCCTCTTGAAACCATCTTCATTTTCAGTACGTTATCAGTATTCTTACATGCATGTATTACCAATAACATCACCATATCGTTAATGAATGAACGACGTTAAATGGTTAATACCTTCCAGGACGTCTGTCACAAATGAAACGATGCGTTACAGTTAAATTTTACGAGAACCAAACGTCGGATTCTATTTTTGATATTGATTGCTGAAATTTAACTTTATCGGATAGTAAAGTAAATATTAGGACGACTGTATCACTTTAACCCCCCCCCCCCCCCCCCACCCCTAAAAAAACAAAATTAATAACAAATACAATATTTTCCATGAAAAAATAAATCTATGTCTTATTTATTTAAGTTCAATGATCAACAGCTTATGTTACGAATGCAGAGTTCTAGTGACGATTTTTTGTCCATGAAAATATTGTCATACACAAATGACATCGTTTCAAGGAAACATGTATAATGCCATATTGTCACATGAATTTTAACTAAAATGTGCACAAGACGTTTTTTCTGCCACGTGATAAGTAACTGGTTTGATGTTTCATGGACAAAAAAACAATGTATCATGGCGGTCGTCTACGTCTAGCTTTAGAAAAGAAAATAATAATTCATGGATGCTTCACACTTATACTTTGGTCTTAACACAAAAAATAAGTGTCATATAAACACAACAATATAAGAAAATATTAAAAATGATTAATATTAAAAAAACTACATCTAATATTTGCAAGGACATTTCAGGTACAGAAGTAAAAGCATGGATAGTTTCTTGAATTAACTCTACAAAATGGAAATTTGTTTTTAATTTAGCTCGCGTCTTAACTCTCACAGCGTCACCGACAACGTGAAACCAATAAATCCAAAAGCACATGTTAGAACTGCATTTATAGTTTCAGCACTAGATGTTTGGTTACAATTCTGGTTTTCTGTCCGCAAAAAGGGATCTGACCAAACCTTTGGCATCTTGCCTTTTCTAAAGAACGAGGGGTCATACTGTGGATCAACGTAAAAATACAATCCTGATATTCTCATACCTCTTCGTACAAACCGAATCTTTTCTGATTGCACACTGTCATCCGAATCAGTGATAAACCATAAAGGACCAAAATATTTCCCAGAAAATTCTAATCCCTTTTCTTGATGAAGAAACATTTTTCCGAATCGACCATAGCGAAGAATAAGCGCACCTCCATCCCCGAAATGTACCCGTATTTCTCCGAAACCTAAGTGGTAATAATGACCGACCAGTTCTCGTGGTGCTCGTGTTCGTAAATCACCAGCTACCCGCTTAACAGTGACAGGTTCTTTGATCGCGTGACGTTCAGCCCAAGGTGCAGGGAAAGTACAGATTGTTGAATAATTCAGCCAGGGTGTTTCCCCTAACAATATGTCACTGGCATAGCTCATAATGGTTCGCATAGCGTGCGTCTTCTCGCGAGTTTGTGGTCCATTAACAGCAGCGAATATACCAACGTTATTGTCAGGGTAGAACCAGAGTCGTGACGAATGGGTAGTTATTCCACCAGAGTGCCAAATCTTCTTATACCCTGTCAAAAGAAAAAGTCGCTGAAGATCATTTAGCATTGTGTTATTTAGCATTGTGAAATGCTTTTTTTGGTGCTAATGTCTATCCGTGTGATTTGGCTTTGATTTTAAACGTATAATATGATATATAAAAAGTTGTTCCTTTACAGTAGCATGGCTCACTGGATAATTTTAAAACTGGGTACTATGAATTAGGTCTTACAAGTGGATGTAATTATCAAATTATGATAATATATAGTGAATCATATTTCGTTTTACTCACCTCTGTAATAAGAAGTTACCCAACCTAAATCATAAGATACCTGGACATCTGAGATGGGGTATTTGGTTTTCAAGAGGTCTTGTCCAGGAAACGGTACTGGCATCATGGGTTTGAAAGTTTCTTCCAGAATATTGTTCTCAAAGACTTGATTACCAAACATATCTTTACCCGAGTTGAGGAGCATGAGTAACCATTTGGCCATATCATCTGAGGTAGTGTAGAGAGAACCTGCTGGGCCACATGGGTAAACTGAACTATAAATACATGTAAATGTTTTTAAAAATGTAGAGTTCATATGAAATTACCCACCAATGAATTCCATATTTCACCTTAAAACAAAACTAGAACCCCTATTGTGGATAGTCGCATTGGCCTTTGAAGCTTGCTGTTTTCCGACATCATTTCCATAATCATGCCCAGGTGAAATTGCTTTGTGATGAATTGTCAATGGCATGGCTGAATTCAATAGCGAACTATTATCGATACAAAATTCCTATTCAAATTTCTAGGTCAGTATGCTTGATTCAGAAATACTGAATAGTTTGGCTGATGCCACGCGCAGTTACCAACCGTTGTGGTGATTGCATACTGATATAAAGTAAACTATACTTACTGTAGAAGGATGGGGTTAAGGTTTACCAATTTCCCATGCTTTAAAGCACAGGGTAAAGCAATGTCTTTGAAATCAGATCGATCTGTTATAAATCCAGAGCTCGACATCCTCAGTGGTGTCAACATATACTCATTGACAAGCGTTTCCCAGGATTTACCACTGAGTATTTCAGCAACGTGACCAGCTAAAGTATACATGTAGTTACTGTACATAAATTTACTTCTGAATGGTGCTACTGCAGGCATATATCGCAACCTCCTGAAATTGATGTAGAGTTACAATTTTAACAAAATAATACCTTTGTGTGAGATTCTTTCCATAATATATGATACTGTTAATTTTGTACACGTCAAAATAGTAGTGTTCTTACGTTTCATTTGATTTGCATAGTTTTGCTTTACCCCAAATAATTCCTTATTGCATTGCATTGTACATTACATTAAAATCTATAGCTTCCTGCTATAAACATAATATCAAGATGAAATCTTGAAGTCTTATTTTAGTACAAATTTATATTGTCACTGCTGGTTACTGAGCCTTTTTTTCTCTGTATTCACGTTGTCACATTTTGGCAAGTGATATTTTGTTTACACCAATAGGAAAATACGAAGATACAAGTTCTCGGCTTGTTTTTATTACAACATCAATTTAGTGGCAGTGTGCGATTATTCAGATCAATGGGGATTAACAAACATGAATATGGTGCTATCAACTTGTCTCTTGGATTACACAGAATGTTAGCGGAGAACGTGATGGCCATACTGAATAAGGTGCGATATATGTTATTGAGAAACGTTGTTAATTGCTTGTCTGAAGAGGTCAATTAATAGACAACGGTATCAATTCTGCTCGAGTTTGGTGACAACCTCCGTTATGAAATCAATGTTATCGTTTTGTTCCAGTAATTGTCAACCATTTTTATATTTGATACTTAGGTCATTGTAGATTGAAGTACATATCAAGGTATTTCGATACGCGTATATATTAAAACAATTTTACAGAAAGCTGATTCAACTATTGTGTAACCCCATCTGCTTTGCTTGAGAAATGACATTGCAGTGCTCGTTTATGTTTCATAAAGATAAGCTTAACAAATGGTGGTCATCAAATCATGTGATGGTGTAACAGTGAAAACATCTATTTTTTAGTGATGAAGTATGCGCATAGGAAATCCTTAACATATGACGGAAAGTTTACGTTCTTTATTTTTGAGCCAAATTAATGGCATTTGGTACATAATTTAAGCAAGTATCAATACAACCCCTCATAATTATATTTAAAGCAATACAAACTTTATCAGATTGAGTCGAGTAACCTCTTCTGGAAAACCAACCAGTAATGCATTAAAATAAGCTGGAGTACCAACTCTGTGTGCTAACAAATCTTCAATATTCACCATATCTGTGCGAAGGTCATCGCTCAGCCGAAATTCATCTCCTAATATAGATTTCACTGAGGTTTCCCATGTGACACTGAAATAACCAAAACATATCCTCATATATTTCTCAAACCAATCATTTCCTTCATCGCTGATAAAGGTCCAAGAGGAAATCTTTAGAAAGGGGTTGATTCATCTGAATATTACATAAAATAGCAACCATCTTCACAATGCCAAGACGGAATGCGTAAAAAGCTTGACATTGTGAAGCGCGATACAGATTAGTCAATCCACAAAGATATGAGTTGATACCATACGTATACTATGTAATCATACTATCATACCAACCAATATCTTTATCTACTAAATCTTTAGATCACTTTATGGTGACCATGAATAGACTTAATAAATCAATGTATGTCAATGCCACGAATGCTGGTATCGTTTAAAAAATGGCCATTTCTATTGGGAACATGCATAGTAAAACATGCGACTTGTGGCTACACAACCGCCATTCGTTGCCATTAAGTGATGGTGGCGTCTTCGGGTTCTTAAAATAACGGAATAATATCATATATTCAATTTAGGTCTGTTTGGCAATGGTAAGTATAAAATTATACCAAATCAAAGTAACACAAAGTAAGAGTAAGAACAATACAAATGTTGGGGTAGTAATCGAGAAGCAAAATGTTTAGCGACTATACCGCCTTTCGGACCCGGAAGTTATCAGGAAAACAAGTAGGTGTGAATGGTTTGAATAGTAATAATAAAATTTGTATTAATTGTTCTACGATCTGATCAATGACTGAAAGATTTACTCAAACGCGTTAATGGCTTCCTCGAAGTTAATATTTTATGATGGTGTTAATGTACATCTTATACAACAATTTACCACATGACTACATGGCCAGATTAGCAGAATCAACTTTGAAGCTTTTATCGTTCCAATCTGAATGTGTAGGGCTTGACGCCAAGTAAGGTCTGATCTGTTAAGTTGGAAGAGAAGAGTGAATACCGTTTGGTCAATCAGTATCGTTGTCATTCTATGGACAAATAGTACCGTTCTGCCTATCCATCTAAAATATCAAAAACTATCTGACTCATTTCATTTTAAGTTCGTTTAATTTTATAATCTCGTGGACATGGGTTTAAGGATGGTATATGTAGGTTTTCTTCATGAAATGTAAAAAAAGGTACGGTTTATTGTCTTCAGCAAAACCTTTGTCTGATCAAACAAAACAAAACAAACATTTATGCCATTGTTACGTTACAAATATGTAACTCTGATATAAAATCCATCACTTTGGGAATATAATTAGAACTGGAAACTATTTGCAAATAAATATACTAAATAAACGATAAAAGATATGGACTCTTCGAAAGGGATGTCGTGGTGACTAACCCAGTACAGAGTGACATCATTAACTTTAAAATGAACGATGTCAGTGAACGGGAATCTAAATAGTCATGTACATGTATTTTTCAATGAGGTTGTGAATGTCCTTTAAAAAAGTTTGAAAGGTCAGATGAAAAATAACTGACCATAACTTGTTGAGTAAGCATTCTTTGATATTTATTGAAACCTATAACATACATCCCTGCACTTATTTTACAGCGTTTAACATTTAAAACGAATTAATAAAAGGCTTCCCTCATACTAGAATCCTTAAAAAATCTTAGAGTAAATTGCTCTCCAAGCTACTTTCACTCGTGGGCATTGTGCAATCAGGTCATTGGGTCTGTATCTATTAATGTTATATAAGTATATCAGAATTGACCATCAAATTGACATACGCCCATTGGCAGCTGTAGGAAATGATAATATATACAAATTTCGTATATTAAAGAACTACAAATGAAATAACCCAATAAACGTTCATCCAGTTATTATCAATTGCAACCTTAACAAAGACCTATTTAACACAAGCAAAATTCAAATACAATGTATCAAATTTCATCAAGATAGAATAACAATTGTAGTCTATATTATGCCAAATATGAAAAACCGTTCATCCTATGTTGGCCAGACTCGAACTTGACTTTAAGTTCTTCAATATGATACCAGCAAACAAAATTCCATAAAGATTGGATAAAACTGATCAAAATTACGCGATCGCATTTTTTATTTAGACACGTTTCAATGCATCTAAATACGTTATCACATAAAACTGTGACCTTTCATTAAGACTCGTTTCAATGCACATTAATACTCGATCAAATACTTCAATGAAACATCGTGTAAGAGGAGCTGGCATGGAAAAAAGCGCCTACTTGTTTGGATGACACAATAAACTAATGCCGCGTGTGCTGCAGGTTGTGCATGTTAAAGATCCCTCGACAGTTGGAAATCTAAAAATCTATGTCTTGACCATAATACTAGTTGGATGTTAATGTTCGCAGTAATAACTTAAGGATGCGATAATTTGCCTGTAACAAACATCGTAGTTAAAAATATTCCATACAATGTTTATGAAAGACAAAGAGATAATTTTAAAAACCGAAATCTCATAGCACTAAATAACAGTGCCATCTTCGATTACTACCTATGTCAATCCTACATTTCAATCATATTATCAAGTGTAAATTGTCTTAACACTCAGGAATCCAAATATTCTATTACCAGTTTAATAGAATTTAATATAAACTACCTGTTTACTTCTTCAGACAAGAAAAACAATAATATAACAGCGGGAGAAGAGTCAGAAAATCATTACATGAGTATATACTTACTTCGGATGTTCACTAAGAATTTTGGAAAGTATTACTGCTGTGAAGGCCTTTGTTAATGACCCGATACAAAATTTAGTGTCTCTTTTAACAGAGATCTGTCTTTCTGGGTCAGAATATCCATAATTTTTAGAAAGTAACACCACATTATTTTTTACTAATGTTATAGAGGCAGCAGGAACCTGGCGACATTTTAATACCGTCCGTACCATATTTTCAAATTTTTGAATATCTGAATTAGACACATCCTGCCAATCGGATAGTTCCACTGAATTACTTTTATCCAAGGATATGCACATAATTACGAGGAACACAAAGAAACGTATCAACGTTGGACACTGGAATGTTGGCGATGTATGAGTGTTGATGAGCATTTTAGCTGTAAGCACGCAGAATTTCATATTTTCTATAAGCAGACCTTTTCGATTGTCGTAATTTAAGTTTTGGTTCCATAGCGTCTTTCGCGGAGCATTATGTGATAATCAAGAAACACATTGTTTCAACTTTATCTTCAAGTTACCAGCTTCCCATCACAGGACAAAAATATACAAGTTGAAAGAAAAAGAAATAAAAATCGTGATACGACACGACTAAATGTTGTATTGATTATTGATACAAAATGATGGGGTTGTTGGGGATTTTCTCGTAACGTGACAAACCTATAAACAACCCAGTTCTCTAGACTTGTTTGTTTCAGTCATCAGATAATCCCATTTTATACAAAATAATGTTGAAAAAAAAGTCCTATACGGGTTAAAATATACAGTTTTAAAAAAATTATCGTAAAAGGATTAAAGTTGACCTTTCTCCCATACTTGACCAATGATTAGAATTTTCTTTTAACGCAAAACAACTTCACACCAGAGTTCATTCAATTCACAACGTTGTTCCCAGATTGAAGACACTCTTTAGGCGCCCACTCTTTCCGATGTTTCGTCGTTTGTATTTCGGATATAACAAAATCATGTTTGAAACTCATTGTTCTTTATAAAATTTCGGAGTTATTATTATATCCAAATTTGAAAATGAGACTGACATTTAGAGAATCCACAATTTATTCTCACATTAAGTGTTCAGTTACTTTGAAACTTTTAAACTAATTCCGACTACGGCTTCAAATTTCATAACTTATTGTACATGAAATCCACTATCCACAGTCACAAAACAGACAGGAAGTAACTTATAAATCTTTATTTTAAACTTTCCTGTTATCTCTTGTAGAAAACACAAATTGAGGGATTATAGTATAAAGATGAATCTGTGAAATTCGCTGCTATATTTACACATTTCTAGTAACAGCAGGCACAATGTTTATTTTTGTTCTGATAATTTTGGTGTAATTAGGCAGTAAGCCGTTTCTATATGAAGCACCTGTTTTTTAATTCCATTTCAATAATTACGTACGATTTCTATGTTTTTATCTGTTTGTGGTTTACCTACTTTTAACGTATGGGTGTTAATTGCCCGTTAAATTGGGCAGACGGAATTTGATTGAAGCTTCAACATTGGATTTTTAAGCTTCATTTATTAAAACTTTTAGTTTGCCAAACAATTAGTGAAACCTATCATCAACAGTTGGTCAATTCTCATAACCTTTCTCATTATATAAGAAATGAATATATTATATAAGTGTTGCAAGGTTGATGATACAGGTTCATGGATACTGGGAACAAGCGTTCTTGCATCTAATGAATTAATGCAGACAAACTCTACTAGGTGGTCTTCAGTGACGGAAAAACGCGATTAACACCTTTTTGAAAATCGTAAAACATTCACAGCCAAATGAAATGCAAACATGTCAATGCCCAGTGCCTGGATCGAACCTCAGACATTTAAATATTAAGCCACGACTACTGTTTAATTGTAAGCCGGCACTGATCTCTGGAAAAATCTTTTGAGAAGAAAAAAAGGCTTACTGGACACTTTGATATGGACGTTTTTAATATGTCTGATTATTTTTAAACCTACCGCTGATATCTGGTTATATTCTGCTGATAGATAAACCTACCATTGGTATCTGGTTGTATTCTGTTGATAGATAAACCTACAACTGATATCTGTTTCTGGTTATATTTTGTGGATAGATAAACCTACAACTGATATCTGTTTCTGGTTATATTCTGTTGATAGATAAACCTACCACCGATATCGGGTTATATTCTGTTGATAGATAAACCTACCACTGATATCTGGTTATATTTTATCTACAACTGATATCTGGTTATATTTTACCTACAACTGATATCTGGTTGTATTCTGTTGATAGATAAACCTACAGCTGATAATTGGTTATATTAAAAAAAACAAAAAACAAAAAAAAAACATGTTTTTGTTACTCTGAGTTTCATGCTATGCGATCTATTGACCTATATAATTCAGCCTGTGTCTCTACCGAAGTTGGACAAGTAGAAGTTATTCCCATGTCTACACTTCGGAACGTTTGTTTAAAGAAGTGTTCTTGAGCATTAATGATGGAACTCTTTCCAACTAAATTACCAAATATACTAGTTAAAAAGTTATCAATAAATAGAGAAAGCTACTTTTTGGTTGAACTCAAATGAGTAGCTGCGAATTATATATTCAATGTATATTTGTTAACCTACCACTGATATCTGGTTATAATCTGTTGATTATATTATTTTATTATTATTGGTAATACACCTACCACTGATATATAGTTATATTTTGTTAATAGATAAATCTACCATTGATATCTGGTTATATTCTCTTGATAGATATAACTTCCACTGATATCTGGTTGTATTCTGGTAATAGATAAACCTTCATCTGGTTGTATTCTGGTAATAGATAAACCTACCATTGATATCCGGTTGTATTCTGGTAATAGATAAACCTTCCACTGATATCTGGTTGTATATATTCTGGTAATAGATAAACCTACCATTGATATCTGGTCGTATTCTGGTAATAGATAAACCTTCCACTGATATCTGGTTGTATTCTGGTAATAGATAAACCTTTCACTGATATCTGGTTGTATTCTGGTAATAGATAAACCTACATCTGGTTGTATTCTGGTAATAGATAAACCTTCCACTGACATCTGGTTGTATTCTGGTAATAGATAAACCTTCCACTGATATCTGGTTGTATTATGGTAAGAGATAAATCTACATCTGGTTGTATTCTGGTAATAGATAAACCTTCCACTGACATCTGGTTGTATTCTGGTAATAGATAAACCTTCCACTGATATCTGGTTATATTCTCTTGATAGATAAACCATCACTGATATCTGGTTGTATTCTGGTAATAGATAAACCTTCCACTGACATCTGGTTGTATTCTGGTAATAGATAAACCTTCCACTGATATCTGGTTATATTCTCTTGATAGATAAACCATCACTGATATCTGGTTGTATTCTGGTAATAGATAAACTTACCATTGATATCTTTATAATTCAGAATCGCCCGCAATTATATCATCCAAAATTGTCTCCAGTTGATTAAACTGTAACCTGAGTATGTATTCTGGAAACGATCTTAGCGCTAAGATGTCCTAGAATCAATGTTAGAAGATAAGGACTTAGGGCATCCTAGCGCTAAGATCGTTTCCAGAATATGTGGCCAGAAGACCGAGAGTTAAAACTAAATAACATCATATTATTAATGAGTTCATAAAGAGTTGTTGTCAATATCCAAGTGGTATATATCAGCAAAATCATGAGTCTTTTCATTGATTATTGTTAAAATCCCAATAACAAAACCATATTTTTGCATGTTTTTCATATAAGAATTATTTACGTATTCATTGACTACAGATATTTGTGGTGTTGATAACTAAATCAGATCGAGAATATTTCCAGATAAGGCGACCACCTACATCAATAATGTATCATATAAAATGATGATAATTGTTTTACTTTGGCCTTAAGCTTCTAATTCTGTTTAAAGGCAATTTCTAGATGAAACAATCAACAATTTATCGTACAAAACAGCAGTAGTCTGATAATGTTCATTCTTTAATGAGTGGAGTTTTTTTCTGTATGCCTTTTAACCACAAATAACTCTCGTGGGAGACGATCTTCACCACAAACAGACAATAAAGTTTTTGTTGTTCAAAATGACATATGTGGTCGTAACTTTCTTTTCATTGTAATTTGGAATTGTGAAGACAGAATTGACGAAAATAGAACCACAGTAGCATGTTTCTACCGCGTAAAATAAATTAATGAACTCTGATATAATTAGTTATTAGTTGACCAAATCAAGATTAAATCTTATTTTTAGCGAGAAGTGTTTGTCTTCCAGCCACATGATGCTACGTGGTGTGCCAAATCCGCATGAATAATGTCTACTTTAATTAAGATGTTATTGCCGCAGAATATTTCGCAGAAGAAAATTGCAAACGTACACGTCACTAACCTTTTATCTGTTGCACTGATTGCTACACAGAAGAAAATTGTGAATAAAATGTAAGTTCAATATTGCTTGTGGATAATTCAGTAACCATGGAATAGAATAAGCCTCTTTAAGTTGAGACATTCATTTAGCATTTGCAGCAAACGTTAATGAAAAGAAACTAAACAAATTAGTCGTCTAATTTCAGACCAGTTGATTCATAACTTTCTTTTATTATTCATAGGTTGTCAGCAATTTCGAAAATTATTTTGAAATTCTGAGATTCTACATATTAACCTATTAAATTTATTTAATAGAACCTAAATAAACATCAATATTAACGCTTGATGAATTGTGATATCGAACAGAAATTTCGACTCCTACAACTTTTCCTACGCAATCAACAAAATTTGTCATCCAATAATTTATATTGATTTCATATTGTCTTAAATTCTTCTTCCTTCGATTCCGCGGTTCTTTGGGTTAATTGTTATTTTAGGAAGGATCAAGTATTTCCTTGCAATCAATATTTTCATAAAAAGTTTAGAAGAATGTCGTCTTCTCAGTTACAACAATCCGGTATTTTTGCCTCCCTGATTTTTATACGTTTTTTGTCCAAAATCAAGTCAATTTTTCGTTAATGTTCCTGGGAAAAACCCTCTCAAACGCTCCAGGAGAGACTTGCGACTACGACAATCCACACAGATGCCACAATTAGAATTCAGCTTCGACTCTTCATTGAGTCAGTCCAGTCTCGAAAGGCTGGCGCTTCCACTATACTTTGTTTTGATATATTTAGGAGCCCACGATCAATTAAAATTAGTGACGTAAATATCTGTCTATAAAAATTTAGATCCAATCTGCGGGGTTTTACCATTTCAAAAGATATTGAATTAAAAATATCAAGGTTTAGTACGAACTATCAAGATATCACGAAAAATTTCAAACAAGTTGATCAAAATTTGAAAACTGAATTGGCGTACACTCTAAAACCTTCGTACAAGCATAGCGTATAAAGACTAATAATATCTTGGCTAGATATACAAGGACTTTATATTTTAGAAGTTAGTTCGTGTGTACCAAACTTTACAGACCTCTTTGTTTTGTACCATGTACCAATATCAATTTGATTTCAGGCGGTTTTCCAGAAATTTTGGGTATTATTTGTATTAAAGGATTTAATAAAAAATCTTTAATCATCGGGCACTTTGTATGAAGGTGTGGACAATAAACAGCAACACCTGCAACAGTGCTAACTAGATAAGTATGCAAAGTGTAAATATAGAAAGAGGCCTGTCATTTCTTTAATGCTGTTAGTATATAAATACTTGGTCTATATAATTGTTTCTATAAATAACTAGCGGTACCAGACAACATAGAATATAAATATATCATACTTCTGGTACATTTTGGCAATTCTGTTATTCTCATCTTAAAAAATGGCTCACTCTATCTATTTTATTATAGTATTATCTGCCTTGGTCAATGTGTCTTGTATACTAGAACTAACACCGAAAGCAGAAAGTGTTATTAAAAGGTTGATGACATGTAGGCATATGCCTGGCATGAGTTTAGCGATAGTAAGTGGAATGGACAATTTAACAGCAGGATTTGGAATAGCTGATTTGGAAACTAACAGAGCCGTTGATATTGATACGTTATTTTGTATTGGCTCAGTTACTAAATCAGTCAGTGTTGCTCTGTTAACAGATTTACTGCAAGATGAAAAACTCAATATACGGTAATTATAATTAACGAAATAATCCCTGAAATTTTGCTTAAAGAAATATATTATTACCAACTAATATAACTTTAATTTCAGCAGCTTTTTTTTAGAATAACATGATAATGTTGATAATTAGATCACTTGATTCCTTTCCTTTGAACATTGGATTATTGGATTATTGGATAGATGTATTTAATAATCATATAAAAAAAAACATATACAGTTTTACAGATGTACAACACACTTGTAAATGATGCTATGAACCAGATAATTTGATAGGAATTCCATACACAGAGTTCACGAATGATTGTTATTGAAAATCTTCAGGAAAAAGTGGACCTCCATTGATGCCCTCTCAATCATGTTGTCATAAAATGAAATGGAGTTTTACTTCTTACTTTTCTGCTTCTCCCCATTGTTTTAAACTATTGAGACAAGCCTTCATAAAACAGTGGCCAAGGTTACATGACACTGGTTATTGTGGTTATAACCTGATTAATGTTAATATCGCAGCCTATACCGTACAGAAACTTGACCTCTCGAGTGGTTGAAGTAGACAAAAGAAGAGAAACAATGTAGTAGTATCAGATAATGTTTAATGTATACGGACTCACTCCACTAATTCATTTGCCATCTCTTGCCATGTTAAAAAACGAAATTCAACCTTCTATAACTTTATCCAGAAATCTCGTTGAAATATGTCCAATATGTCGAATGAAAGCCTGACCAATTCTCAATGTCTCCTAAAAAATTCATTATATGATGACCATGAAAATTTTGAGCTACTAAAATTGAAAGTAGACTACTACCGGTTATACTCAGAGTTTGGAACTTCACAAAACGACTATTTTTAGAATTAGCCTTCAACCTTTAGGTCTCTCATCATCTCACCAAATCAATTTCAGACATCAAATTCCAAATCTAGACCAAATTTTACCCAAAAATAGGCATGTAAAAATCCAAAAAGCCAAAAAGGGAGAGAGAAAGAAGATTTCTAAAAATAGCCTGGACTACATTCCTATACAATCATTTGCATAAGATGTTTTAGTGGAGTGAGTCCATACCAATTTCCATTGCTGTGAAATAACTCCCCCTTATATAATGCAGTGTCGGGGTGGCCGTGCAATGTGGGTAAAAAGGATATGAAACCACCCTTATGGTTTTAGATATTCAAAATGTTATAAATACAGATTTGAATCATATTTTCTTCCCTGTTTTTAAAATGTGAACATACGCAGGTACGTTATGATATCGTCCTTTTTTTTATTCCTGTACTTTCACTCTTGAAATTTATAAGAGTGGCTCCGCCACTGCTTGTTATAACTATCATGAATGTAATTGTAAACTTGCAAATTTAAATTTGGTTTCTAAAAGGTTACTAGAAACAGTATTCTAGAAGGTGGTCGTTTTTCGTCTCTTTAATATTCGCACACATGCAGGTGAAGGCTACACGAATTTTCCATACTTAGATTAATAGAAATCTGCAGAATTTGCTGTTTTACAACAGAACATCTATGTCCGAAATGTTTTTAGTTTTGTAGGAGCATTTCTAAATATAAATCAAAAGTTTGCCAATTGGCCAACATCTTGATGTAGATGAAGTTGAAAGTATTGAAATCGATGAAGGCCCTGAACACACAGACATTCTATTTAGTTACCGGGAAGCTCTTCGACAGCTGACACCTGATACTACTTTTTATTATGAAATACTTCCTCACTTATGATTCCTCATGTGAAAAGTTCAATAGCTGCTTCTAATGTTTCGCCAATTTTTGGTTTAGTTTTGCAGTCCGGATCGTTAGTACTTGGTTTATTTACCCTCCACGGTGCAAGACAGATTAGAAGGACTGATGGCATATGAGAATAACCCCGTTTCACCGGCTTGGTCGCCGGCAAACGTGAAGTAAACCTAGAAAAAGTCCCGTAAAATTAAAAACTATACATCAATCGCTATCAACCTGCGACATATGCGAACAGATAGCGTTTCTAATACAATATTATTACGCTTGTCAAAAGAAATTCTCAACGTCGAATATTGGCGACAATGGCGCCAACCATAACGTAGCTTTTACCACGCTCTGAGCTAATTTTCCGTCGCAGTAGCAGCTCAGTTAGCTGTTCCTATTCTGACGGAGCAGGAACTGTCACAAGCACTTCAAACTGAACGATATTCTGATTCTATGCTCTCATTAATAATAATTTATTTGAACTACCATAAGTAGTATGAGTTACAAGTTCTTTTTCGAGTTTTGCATTATTGACTAACATATTTTTATTTATATCGGATTGTACAAAAGGCGCAGTTGTATAGGGGGCACCTAAAACGATTTCTGTACCATTGCTCGTAAGTTACAGAGCATTGGTTATTATGATTTATGTTAAAATCGCAGCTAGAGTGATTGAAGTAGACAAAGACACGTCACGTCGTCTTACAATTTATATTTCAGGAACTGTGATTGGAATATCAAATTGAAAGATATATGGAAGGATTTCGAATCAACTGATCATTGGAGAACGTCTGAAATGAGTTTAAAAGATATCTTATCACATCGCACAGGGTTAGAGAGTATTGAATTGGGAAACTTCGCAGGTTATCCTACGTCTATTACAAGAAAAGAATTAGTTCGGTAGGTTCTTCATTTCATCACATATTTGAACGTTTCTTATATTAACTTTATTATCCCTGTTTGATATTCTAAATGTTGCAGTGGAACCAAAACAAAGTACTATCAAGCACTTATAAATGAAAGACTGTGTTGTACTGTACCAACCTAAAATGTCTCTCGAGATTTTAAATTGTGCAATGTCGGGGCTATGCCGATGTAAAAGCCGCCACGCCACTGTCGGGTGTATTAGTGTAACGTAACGATTTAATATTGATTTTGCCTACATTTCAGGAGATTGAAATATCTGAAAGAACTGTATCCATTTCGAGATAGATTTCATTATAATAATTTAATGTATATGTTAGCTGGGTATGTAGCGGAAGTGATTGGTAATAGCACATGGGAAGATCTGATTAACACAAGGCTTTTTCGAAAGTTAGGAATGGTATCTTCTACGGCGTTTTATGATACAGATATAAAGAACCTATCCATCCCGTACACGTTTGATGCAAACACTAAAAAGTACAGTAATGTCATGAACGTTACTAGGTGAGTTAAAAATGAACAAGATACGACCCTCTAGAACGTTGGTCGTGGATCGGTATTTTCTGTCCCGAGGGATGCGAAACTATGACAAGATATTATGTAGCAGACTAAACTGTGTTAGCCCACGTAATCCAGCTATTCTTTCGTGAGAGAATGGACGCGTACACAGTTTGAAATAATATATTTTACTCCGACTTGAAGAATTTCAGGGGCGAAGATTTGCTACGGTGTAAACTTACTGAGTAGTTACATATAGCACATGGACAAAACAGCCCTTTCATAGACATTTAATTAACATTATATTTCATTGTGTACATGTTTACCTAAATCCCTTCACATTTCTATAATTCGTAATTCTTCGTTAAAAAAGGTCATCTTGTAAACAATGACACGTATTTTAACTCCCTTAACTTTTCTCTTGTCATGACTGGTAACATCTTTTGTTTTCATTTTTCCTTTACACTTATGTGTGGCTTGAATTACTTTATCTGTGATTATGCTTTTTAGAGTAACCTTTCATCCACTGGATCCAGCAGGCTCGGTTCTGACAAGTGCCCGAGATATGGTAAAATGGTTGAAGTATAAAATCCATAATGTAAGCCAGTGTTATTTAGAGGCCGTGCAGCCAGTTGTATTCAGAGAAAATGGTGATACGTTTATAAAGAACTTATTTCCCGACTTAGATTATAGCAGTAAATTGTATGCTATGGGCTGGGGCGTAGGAACATACAGAGGTAAGTTCTGTCTCTTTTATTTGAGACCAAAATCGTTACTCAGTCATGTGAACCACTCGGATGCAACCTTGCGAGGCCAAATCCCAATCCACCAAGTTTTACTAAGACACGGACGGTGCCGCTTTGTTCTGTGATAACCCTTTCAAGATTGCAAGACTTAAGCTTGAAAAGTAGTTGTATTACAGATTTCTCGATAGGTTATTGTTACTCAAGTGGGGTAAATATTGCCGAGGGACCCTTGCCATCTAACAATCACGACCGCTGGAAGATGTTATTCTCTACATACTTAACTTACGATAGGTTCACCAAACAACGAAACTTCTTCTTTTTTTAAAGCGTTTGGTCATTAAATTACAAATATCGAACAATGTTAGAAAAGTACCACTCTCTTTTAACTGGAATTGTACCTTATTTTCTTAAATAATATCTAACCTAAAACATCTGTTCCTTTACATTTAGCACAAATAGGCCAAAATTTCGTAATTTACGCCTACCTATAGTAATTGTTCCATAGAAAACTGGTTATTCTCTTTATAGACGAGTAGGAGGCGTGGTGACTGTGTTTTATATAATCCTACAAGTGACCTTGAGCATTTTCCACTGGTTAGAAACGTACAATGACATCCACTGGTTTCAGTGATCCAATGGATAACACTTATTAATCATTCAATTAATAGGATATTATTAAGCTTATCTATTTCTGATAAGACTCATATTTATTTCTGCAAAATTCACCTGGTGTCCGTGTTGCACAATCAGTCAAGCAAAGAGTGCTCTCAATAGTGGCGACGTGCGCACCGCGTGGGCATGTATACTTCAATATAGTCCTTCTCTATGTAATACAATTCCAATTGAGCGCAACACTTTCCAGAGTAAAACTTTAATGTGCCCCACCCCATTGAATAGAAGTATATTTTGCCCACATTCTCATTTATTTAGGTAGGATAATATACACTCACAGTGGAGATATATATGGATATTCTGCCATTCAAGTGGTTCTACCTGAAATGCAAGTTGCTCTTCATGTTAATTCCAATGGTCCTGGTGGTTCAGAAGGATTCATAGCAATGGTTCGGATTGCTTACTATCTGATAGATACTGTTATTATGAATATAGAGTCGTCTGTCAATGAAACAAACGTGTGCACATTACCAGATCTTATTGATATATCAGCTGATGAACCAGATCCATACCAAACACCCAAGGATGTTCCGAATCCGCACAGCTATACCGGAAGTTATGGTCATCCTATAATTGGTGATTTCTACATAAAATACTTGGAGGAAACGGATGTCTTGCAGTGCAGCTTAGGGATCAACTTGAAGGGGGTTTTATATAAAACTGGCATCAACGATACTTTTACACTTTTGGCAAGTCCGCCATTAAATGATCTTTATGAATTCAAGAACAGAGCATTAAAGTTAAGATTTGATGACAAGTCCCCTAACAATGGTGATCAGTACCAAACGTTAAACGTAACTGTAGAATGGGCAACCTATACATTTCGAAGGGGTGTATCATTTGCAGATTTTAATATGGCTTCTGGCTTATTGATCAGTTGCAAAATGTTTTGTACAATTCTGACGATCAATCTTTTCATTGCCCACCTCCTCTTCTGATCCTATAGCGCAACAAATGTTGCAAATTAGGCCGCTGGGTTTTCTTTGTGTACCCTCTTTGAACCCGTTTAAAATTATATTGTATTATATGTTTTTATCAGGTTATGAATATACCTCATGTTGGAAGATTTATAATTCATTTTCGGTAAAGCGTGAAGTCCTTATGCCCTGAGATATTTTTAAAGATTTTAGGCAAGGAAATTAGAAGTCTTCATACACAACCTTATGTCTTTACTCGTTTTACAGTATTCGACAAAAATGCTTAAAAAACCAATAAAGCATTTCTTTCGGTTCGATATTAGTATATCAATGATATTTCATATTAGAGGATATCTCTTGTTATATATGGGACATTTACGGTCTATTTTTTGAAAGGTAAATGATCTCTCTTGATATCTCTTGTTATATATGGGACATTTATGGATATGGATCTCTCTTGATATCTCTTGTTATATATGGGACATTTACGGTCTGTGTCTGTACTTTGCGACGAGTTAACACTTGATGAAAATTCCGTAAACATGATAACTACGTTACTTTAAACGTAACTGAAGAATGGGCATCCTTTACATTTGGACGTTTCATACCATAATGCAATGAGAGATAACCAAAGTAACATCTTGGTCAAGCCACAGTAAATCAATATGTGTATTTAGGAGTGATGTGAATTTATTTTTTGAAAGGTAAATGATCTCTCCAGCTCATGATTTTAGATCTTATGAAAGAAAAGACACCACCAGCTGATTGTCCACCACATCTGAGGGTCATCTTACCAATCTGTTTCCAAATCCTAAAAATAATAAGCATTACAATTATGACAAGACCACTCCAATTTGATAAAAGCAAAATATTGATAAAGTTATTGGGCCGAATTCATAAAACTTAGCAATTGCTTTTTGGGGGTTTTTCCTTACTTCTTCATTCATAAAATCAAAGAATTTGTTTCCGTGAAAACCAAGAAAAAGCAAAAGCTGGATTTTAAAGATCTTGCAAAAGATCCATATACATTTCCTTCTTTTTCCTTAATGGAAGAAGCAATTTTCTGTCACTGTCAGACTTGCAAGCTCCTAAATAGCAGTTTGACATTCAAATTCCACAATCCACAATCAATCGACTGTTAATTCGGTGTTTATGTATCTCAGGAACATTCTGAGGCGTTCAAGTGGCGTAAAAACCATGATAAGGTCCTAGATGGGACTTATCACAGACTTTTCAAGAGAATGATATATGGCTGGCTGCCAAATTTCTACCAGAATATATTGAACAGAGGGACAGTTTTCTTAGTCCAGTAAAACGCATTGGTATATCATTAAAGTATCTGTCTGTTGCAGATCTTTTTGAGAATTTTTTTTCACTGTGCTGGTCGCAATGATTTGATTCGCCTGTGGTATCTTCTTTTTTAGCACTCATTTTTGCATACAAACGCAAATAAGTTACTTAGCAACGTTTACTATTATACTCTATATTTCTATAAGCTTGTGCTCAGATAGCAATAGATTACTTATAGGATATTTAGAAATTGCTTTTACTTTTGCTTTTTCTGAGAGCTTCACCTTATAAGTCCATGCTATGTTTTATGTTTTCGGCCCATTGATTTGGTTGTGATTTAGACAGACCGAGACAATACACGCGTCAGTGTGGCATCTAGTGTTCCGGAAGTGTAAGCATGACCGCATCGCTAGCGACTTGCACTACAGTTTTTATCATAGTACAGGTCAAATGCAATAAAGTTAATAGGTTAAAGAACTGCCCCTGGCTGGGATAGTCTTGTCAACCCCTAAAGTCATTGGCCAAATGGCATTTAATAAATATACCAAACAACCAATAATATCTACGTGAATTATCCGAATGGTATTCGGAGTTGACATACCTAGTTGCAGAATGATATCAAGTGAAGGAGTGGAAGAATGAGTATTTACAAAGTTTTGTATTGTACTTACTTCAAAGATGAGGAGTCAAACAAATCTCCAGAATCAAAAACTTTGGCAAAAGCTTCTCGATTGTCCCAAAATATATCACAGAACCCCTTTTCCAGGTAACAATCCCCCATTATTCTGAAAGCTGCATGCTCTAAATCATGACAATTGACTTGGTTTTCTGAGTAAAATTGTTCTGAGAGTTTCTTTGTCATACATTGTTGTGATGCTGTTAAGAAATTCTGAGCCTAAAAGAAATGAATTAAAAAACAATTATCGATTGTTACACAGTCACATATCCTGCAGGTGCTACTACATGATAGCAGACCAAAACATCTGCCTCTTTTCCAGCCGCTTTAATAGTTGCAGATTTTTCGGACTAGATAATAGTATGATATACTGAACCACTAAAGAAACATGGAACTGTAAATGACTATTTCTTTCACAAGTGGTATAAATATTATAAGAAGGTATTCACATATCTTGGTAATTGTATCCTGGAACCAGGAAGATAAATCAATAAAAGCACAATTTTCGGAAAATACAAATACTATTTTCAAGAAATGTGAATTAATCGATTTCGATATCTGTTTGAAAGAAAAAACTACTTTTTTTAATTTGACTCTTTTATTGTGGTCATGGGTGGTATCGAGGGTGCCAGGCGTTTGGAATGAAAACACAGCTTGTGTAAAAATTTTCGAGGATGGACATAATCTTAAATTTTGCAGACCAATTACGATGACATCAAGATAATTAATTAATAATTAGGTTTATCCGATTTTAATCAGTATCCGGAAGTAACTTTCTTATCAGTTGAAACAGATATAACATAAACCAGGATATTAAATCTTTTATATTAAAAGTGATTCATTTCAAATGTATAAATTTCTCTTCGTCACACTGAATCAAATCTTACAATACGTACTGAAGGTACTTGGAAATTTCCGTTTTAACATACAACCCTTAACATGAGTGAATACAGCTTTAACCCTATGTTACAGTGCCTTCTCTTGAATAGTAACTTAATATCTTCCAACCACCCTGATCTCTACATCCCTAAAACAGGCATTACTTAGACATATAAGCACCTCGCACCTTCCTTCCAAAAGTTTTCTGAATATATTTTTTGATTTCTTAAAATATAGGGCCATCATTGTTTTGATCATTTGGTTTTTATACGCCCACATGAATATGTGGTCGTATATTGTCGTTGCCCCTGTCCGTCGGTCCGTCCGTCATCATTTCTTGTGAGCACTATTGAGACTACAGTTTTCATCTGATTTTGATAAAACTTGGTGTGATGCTTTAGATTGATAAGATCTCGGTCAAGTTCGAATTTGACATATTTTCGATGAACGGTTTTTCAGATATTGCCCTTGACTTAAAACGCCTTGAAATTTGTTAAAAATTGTTCGTGAGCAGGATTGAAGTTACAGTTTTCATCCGATTCTGATGAAACTTGGTGTGATCATTGGAATTCATAAGATCTCGGACAAGTTCTAACTTGACGCATTTTCGATGAACGGTTTTTGAGTTATTGCCCTTGACTTTGTTAAAATGCGTCGAAATTTGTTAAAAATAGTTCGTGAGCAGGATTGAATCTACAGTTTTCATCGGATTCTGATGAAACTTGGTGTGATCATTGGAATTGATAAGATCTCGGACAAGTTCTAACTTGACGCATTTGTGATGGATGGTTTTTGAGTAATTGCCCTTGACTTTGTTAAAACGCTTCGAAATTTGTTAAAAATAGTTCGTGAGCAGGATTAAAGCTACATTTCTGAACTGATTCTGATGAAACATGGTGTGATCATTGGAATTCATAAGATCTCGGACAAATTCTAACTTGACGCATTTTCGATGAACGGTTTTTGAGTTATTGCCCTTGACTTTTGCTTCAAAATTTGTTTGTGAGCACAATAGAAGCTACAGTTTTCAACCGATTTTGATGAAAATTTGTGTGATTATGGAATTGATAAGATCTCGGACAAGTTCTAACTTGACGCATTTTCGATGAAAGGTTTTTGAGTTATTGCCCTTGACTTATGAAAAAGGTGTCAAAATTTGCTTGTGAGCACAATAGACGCTACAGTTTTCAGCCGATTTTGATGGAACTTGGTGTGATCATTGGAATTGATAAGATCTCGGACAAGTTCTAACTTGAGATATTTTTGATGAACTTTTTTTGAGTTATTGCCCTTTACTTTGTAAACACGCGTCAAAAGTTGTTTTTTGCCCTTGATTAGAGCTGTGTGATTTAATTGTTTGTTGTATTTGGGTTATTGATATTGATTTTAAAAATTTTTGTGGAATTACTCAGCATAAATAACTGGCATATATATGTAATTGAATTCAATCTAATAAAATTTCTTCAATATGAGAAAATTCGTACTTTAGTCACTAAAGACTGTTTCATCATTTCTGACAGCTGCCAGTGGGCGTATGTTACCTTGCCTCGCAAGCTATCTTCTGGTGAATCACCAATCTACCTGTGCCCATCTTATGTAATATTTAAGTGAAGCATTATTAATATTGTTTATTAATTTAGTTTTTTACCTGTGGATTGAATTCGTGTCTATAATTATCCACATCTTCAAATCGCTGACAGTAGTGATATCCAAATCTTAACATATATCCTCGTGCTCGACATGGAAATCTTCTTTCAAAACAATTATAAAATTCACAACTGCCTTCTGCACCAGACCCTTGACATGTTGAATCAACCTCTATAATATTGAGAAAAAAAACTTTTGCAACCCGGACAGTTTGTAAATAAAATGGAGATTTACATCCTTCTCTACTGCACTTGATGTGCCTAACGAACATAGGGGGTAGAGGGGGGGCATATTAAACGATGAATTTGATTATTTCCTATTGCAAATCATACCTTCTTTTAATATTGATTAAGATATAAAAATATCAATTTCGTTTCAAGATATAATATTTTGGAAAAGTAAGCAAGAGCTTCAATATATATGTACCCAGTCTAATTAAACTTATGTATTTCTTATTAAATTCCAGTAGTAACTATCAAAACATTCGGTTGCAAATTTAAAATTGTCTCAAAATTGTGACGAGCATTGCGTTCGAAATCTTATCCCAATTTAGAAACTTGCTTTCATCTGAAACGATAAACAATAAGAATATATCTGATCCAGTACTTAGGAACTTATCATGAAAACTAAATATCTAAAAAATATATGTCAGTGTTACCTCCATCAGCCTGTACAACTCGATCTCTTGAAAACAACCAAGCACTGGTTCCTACCAAAATACTGGCAATTACACACAGTTCAATCTTCATCTTGCAAAATACGACACGCCACAACTTCCTACAACCAACTGAGAAGCAACCAACAATAGTGTATACAACGAACTTTACATACAGATGTAAGCCTACACTGACGTGAGCTAAACCCTCAACCGGACTTCCGACTATTGAATCGCCATCTTCAAACATTGACCTCCAACCCTAATTACGTAGATACTTAAGACTTTGATTTGTTGATTTTTAGGTTAAACTCAAGTAGCAGTCAGCCAAATAAGGATACCGGGACAACTGTTTCAAATAGTTCTTTGACTTATTCTGAGGAAAACAATCAACTTGTTGAACTTGTGATTAAAATTAGATTCCCACAATTTAAGCCGATTTAAATACAATATCTAAGACCCCCCATACCCCACCCCACCTCACCTCACCTCCTTAAAATCCCCATAAACAGTCATGTAGAATCAGAAAAGATACCCATACAAAAAGAAAACTTGTCTCTTCTGTTCATTTCTATCCGTAAACAACATTGGGGAACTTAAATAATATATCTGACGTGAGATTTAAAATTAGTTTAAAGTATTAAATAACAACATATTATTCAACGACATTGACTACCATTTAATTTGATATATTGAATACATTGTCATATTATGTCTTGTAAGTTATTGTAAATAAAGCAATAAAGCAATCAAAGGGTATTATAATTAGTATTGCTATAAATATTTTTATGTACAATAGACGTGAATACCATATATACGTATATGTCATGTCCAAGTTACCATATTTCTCGGATATTCATTCATTCGTTCAGTTTAAAGAGCGACAGTCTAGAATAGACTGTAGTATAATAAACTAGTGTCCAAAAGAAACGATACCAACTTATTTTCAAAATTGTTTTTTACTAAGTGAATTGTCTAATATGAAAACATGCCAATTCGTATTGCACATCCCAAACACAGCATAGTCGATAAAAATACCGGGAACACGTGATCACTTCCGGGAAAAAACGTAAATTTCGTGAAAGTGACATTTCCCTCTCTAGCATGTTCTGCACGTGCATAAAAACTGTATAAAACGGCTGATCAGACACGTTGATATCACAGCAACAAAAAGAACACAAGATATGCCCTGTTTGACAGCCATCGAGAGAGAGAGAGCCGTTGGAATGGTCCAACAAGGACCGACACACGTCGACGTTTGCCAGAAGATTGGACTGCACACGCATCACTATCACCAGGTTGATGCAGCGGTTACGTCAGACAGGTCAGACGTCAGACAGGCCCAGGAGTGGAAGACCACGAGTAACCACGCCCCGTGAAGATCGTTACATCCGGGTATTACACCTGAGGAACGGCACCGTAACAGCGACGTCCACGGCGGCTACAGCACTGGGACACAGGATCAGTCGACAGACCGTCTACAGGAGACTACGGCAGTATGGTATCCGGCCACGTCATCCCTACCGCGGACCGCTCCTGACGCCTCGACACCGGAACAACAGACTGATCTGGGCCAGGCGAGTTCGACGTTGGCAACGGCGGGACTGGGCACATGTTATGTTCTCTGATGAGAGCAGATTCCTCATCTTCAAAAACGATGGACGGCAGCTTGTATACCGACGATTTGGTGAACGTTTGGCGCCTAACTGTATCCAATAGGTCCGGCCGTTTGGAGGTGGAGGGTTAATGGTTTGGGGTGGCATATGTGGTGACGTCAAAACGAGGCTTGTCGTAATTCGTGG